GAACTCCTGACATGGATTTAGAATGCCCGGCACAACATGGTTCTGAGCAGTTCATTGGCTGTTTCAGACAAATATAGTGTGTTTTTCTAAAAAGCCTGGAAAGAGTTAAAATGTTTGTTTTTTTCAGAAAAAAAATGCTACTAAAAGCTCTGCTTCATTTTTCCCCCTTTGGTTAAAAACAAATGCTTCAAGCATAGTAGACAGAATAGAATTTTGTTTTTTTCACTTTCCTGCTGAGACTTAATTAGGAGAACAATCTTTTCATAAGTCCTAAGTGTTCTAGCAAATGGCAAAATAAGGTGTTAGTAAAGGCAGTGTGTTAATAAAAGCACTGAGGCAAAATAAAAGGTAGAAATTTGGATATATGCCCCTGTACCTGGCACAGAGATAGCCCCAGTAAAAAGACTTCCCATGCCAGTCACGTTTTTGTTTGTACGAAGTGAGAGAGACATGAGCACAATCCTCCTTGGTCCCACCATCTGACAACTCCGTCACCTTTAGGACCATCTCCATCAGCTCAATCCCATGTGTGTGTCTCTTGGGCTCTTGCACTATAGAGGGGTCTCACTGTCTCTTCATGTTTCATAGAAAACTCAAAAAGATTTAAATGCAATTCAAGATTGGGTAAACACCCAGCAACTGACACTTAGTGTAGACAACAGCAGAATATTGCATGCAAATAGCAAAAACAAAACCTATAATTCTAAACTTTAGGAGACCAATTAGCTTCAAGAAGCTATGTATGAAAAATACTTTTGTATCTATATTCACACATCCCATCTTCTAGACAATGTAGAGAATGTAGAGAAGGCTCAAAGGAATATCCTTTGTCTAAAAGGCTGAAAGTGTTTAATTTTTTGTCTTGACTGAGGAGACTGTGACGGGATCTGACTCAAGTATTAAAAATATTTAAAGATATTGACAAATCCAACCGAATGGACTCCTTCAGAATCTACAATGAAACACAAGCCAGAGGACACAGATATAAAATAAGGAGGAAAGCATTTAACATTAGATCAGAAGGCACTTTTTTTTACATGCGGGAGTCTGGATCCTGGTATTATGATTAACTTGTAACAGCAATACAAATGTTTCTTTCAGGAAAAGGTGGGTTAAATTTCTTGGATCAATTAGTTGCTGGCAAGCAAATGAGCTACATGGGCTGAATCATCTCCTGCTATTTGTAACCTTTCATATGTTCTTATATTCCTTCTGGATGGTCCGTAGGCAAATAAAAAGTTTAGAAATTAATTAGTAGTCTCTTTCACTAGGTGCTCACTAGCACTATAATATCCATAATAAGTGGTAGCAACAAGATCCTTAAGGCAAGAGTCTATTTGCTGTTCTTAGTTTTTGTCATCAACTATATAGTAGCACGTATTAGTTTGACCTTAAATGGACCACTGCAGCAGCAAATTAAAAGTTGAGAAAGGGTGGAACTGACTCAGGTCACCGATCTTTTGTCATCCCTGAGGTGAAGAGGTGTGTGGTGGGAGGTGTATTTATCCATTCCTGGCACACAAATCCTTTCTTGCTAAGAGCATGCTTGTAAAACCCAGATTTGTTTCAGTTCAAAGGAACACTGCTGAAGCTACAGAGCTTAATGGGGGCGATTAATTTTAATTATTTTCTTTTATGCATGAGCCTTGTGTAATCCATTCCAAATTATGATAATCTTGTAATTCTGCCTGTGTCTCCTGTGGGTTTCTGCATCTTAATGGACTTTTTTAGCTCTTAGTTCATTTGTTTTAACTCCGGCATACGGAAGGATGTGCATGTGTGTTTGGGTAAGGATTGTTAAGTCAGGCAGGATCAACTTTCTGAGCCCAGATCACGTTTACCTTTGTAAAGCTCCAATGACCAGCTGGAATCTGTTCCTTTTCACAGTTTGAATTCCAAATGCCCCTTTTATCTTTCCCTTTTAGTCCACTCAGTATCCCTAAGCATTTCGTAGACATACTGTAGCCTCCTGACCTCGACTGTCACCTCTCTCCTCAGATATGACCATTTTGCTCTGTGTAAGCAAATCTTACTGCAGCTGTGGTTGCACATGCTGAGACCATGAAGGTGTGCTTTTGAAGTGTGTTTTTAATTCAACCTCAATCATATTTTATTTAAGAATACTATTCTGTAATTATCTGCACATTCATTACTTAATACTTGTAGAATATCTGCACTTCTGAAAAACAGAAAAGGAGCATATAAAACGGTAGGAATGGGTTAGCTCTCGTAATTCATCCAATATGATAGTTAGCATTCCTTGTTCATTGTCTCCGTGTGTCCCTGCTAGGGATTCAGTTCTACACCACATGAATTATATCGATCTGTGGTTGTCATACTGTTATGTGGCTAGGGAATTATTATATGTATATTTAGTTCTTGACATTCTAAAACTGCGTTTCCTTTGGGCATGGTGTGTGATTTGGAAGCTGTAGTCCTGAGTGATTTTGGTAAATATTATTCTAACGATGGATTTAAAAAAAAAACATGTGGTGCAAAAAACTCATTATGTTGGCATTGAAAAACACAATATGCCAGATGGTTTATATGTCAGTTCCCAACATCCACAACTGCCATTAGTTTATCAATAACAAGTAAATTTGAGAGAATCAGCATGTCTCCAGGGTAAGTCTTATAACAGATCAGACACCTGCAGCTTCCAGCATTCTGTACCTCCAGCAGAAAGTCAGTTACTGTAGATAATACCAGAACTTTTGAGCAAATAAGCTTCTGCTCAACTGTGAAAGTAGCAGTGGTACCTGTAAATTATGCATTCGCAAAATCCCAGCAAAGCACCCCTTGGACAACAAATACCATTTTTTTTAAATCTTGACTTATTCTCAGTGTTCATTCTAGCAGAGCTCCCTGTTTCTTCATTAAAACAAAGCTTAGATCAATCTTTCAGTAGAAATTAACATTTTCTACCTTTCATTCTTACTGTATGTCTTTCACTACAGATGGTTAGAGATATCATCCAAACTGCAGGCCCAGTGTCACGATTGTCATTCCTCCTCTTAAGGGCGCTCAGGACCTTTCGTATTTTAGTTGATTACGTGCACCTGTCCCCTGTTTGTCCATCATTATTTAAGCCTGGCGCTCCCTCTGTTCCTGGCTCAGCATTGGAAGATGGACGTCCGGAAACCAGGAGACATCCAGGACAGACCCGATGGCATAGGCTTCATCACAGCATCCTTATCGTCTGAGTCCAGGGCTCAGAGCACCTGGCTTTGTCACCTTGTTTTTACTCCCTCCTCCTTTACCGGATCCCGTTTAGGATTTTAACCTTGTTTGTCGTGAATGGATCCCCTGGTTCCTGGACCCTGGACTGTGCCCCAGATTTCCCCCTTGGACTGTTTGGACTTGTCTGCCTGCACCATGCCCCCCGAGCACCAGATCACTGTTGTCACGCCACCCTGTCTGTCAACCCGTCCTGTTTTTTTCTGTGCATCTCCTCCCTGTTGTCCTTCTCCACTTACTTCCGGATTACACCGTCTGCATAGGGTCCTGAACTATGGAAGCCTGGACCGACTGCCTTTACACCCAGAAGTGCTTGTAATTCTGGATGGTTTACATGGATACCAGCTTGTTAGCACTTTAAGCTAAGATTTGTGTCCAGTTATTCTGTTCTGGATTTTCCCGTTATTGGAATTTTCTTGCTGTTTACTGGTTGATCCTGTTCAGTGCTGTGACTGCTATGTTCCTTTATAATGTCATTTGCAGAGTCCAGATTGGTGACTGAAAGCAATCCTATCAACAAGTCCTATCAATAATTGTCGTCAAATATCCATAACAAAATGCAACAATGAACAAAAATGTGTGTATTTGTTGACTTATTGACCTCTGATTAGATGTTGTCTGGAATTTTGTTACTCGAAATCTATTATCCTCTTTGTTTTACTTTTACAGGGTTCAGAAATGTAAAAGAGATTACCGTTCATGTGTAGACAGACAAAGATAACCCAGTGCTGGGCTCTTCAGGTGATTTCGGAAATGGGGTGAACTGTCTATTTACAGTAGCTTTTGCAATGCTCCATGCTTTAGATGGTCTGTATTCTAATGTGTTTGCTAGTTGAGGTATTTTAATTCAGATTGACTAGACTTATAGGCTCGTCACTTGATTACAATCCAACATGCTGGGAAAGGGGTCTGCAATCTTAATTCTGATGCACCATAGTAGCCTGTTGGGAACCATCCATGGGCACTACATGCCTATTGATGCTTTAAATGATCAATGAACAGAGACATCATTTCCACACCTAGAGGATAAATACCATCTTCTGAAGGAGCGGCTGCATCAGGCCCTGCATGGTACCCAAGTCACCAGTTGCTGCTCTGCTTGCGTCTGCCTGGGTCTGTGCTTGCCTCTGGCAGCGCTACAGGCTAATTCTGGTGCTAGGACTAATTGTATAAATTGCTGCTTTGACACCACAATTCTTTATCTTGACTAACCTGCTGAGATCAGTGAAGCAAGAAAAGAAATTTGTGGACGAGTAAATGTTGAATTTGGGAACAAACATCAGGTGTACATACAGTACTTCCAACTTACAATAGACTTCCTAGTGTTCACGTTGTGTGAGAACCTCTCAATAAAGTAAAGCTGTTTGGATACCAGGAACTTTTTCTTTAACTGTACCATTAATTGCAGTGTTTTCAAGTAAAACATGTTTCAATATTTTTTCTGCTCCTAATACTAACATTCCTGTTTCACCCACAGCTTCAGAAAGGGGTAGCCTCAGCGGACAGACATCTTCGTTTTGAAACACCTGTTTGGGGTGAACCAAACTTTTACCCCACCACCAAGTTAAACCGACACAAAGACAGCAGCTGATGGTTGGAGGAGTTATCTGCACTCTCATCTCTTGCACATGATCAGGTGCCTGCTCCTGGCTGTTGGAGACAGAGGTCCTTGAGGTCCTCTGGAAGTATAAATATGAGGAAGGAGATGTCTGTGTCTACTGTGACACCCTGGTCCCAATCTACAGAGACAGCAAGAGATACACCACAGCTTCTTCGTGGCTCTGTGTTCTCATGCAGAACCAGCACTGACAACAGATGCAAACTTTCTTTGCAGAAACAAAAACAAGGTAAGAGAGAGCAGAACTGGTTTGTTTTTAATAAAGAGTGGTACACACTGTATGGAGACTTGAGTTATTGTCCTCTGGGCTAAGCAGAATATCTATTCAAACTGATCAGAAGAGTGACAGTCGAACGCCATTATGAACATACTGTGGGAAAACCAAGATAATGGTAAGCATTTGTAATTTTCATTAAAATTATTGAATCTTTACTACTGTAGAGTTCTTCCTTGTAGATGACCCCTCCTTAATACTGTTTCAGAGCTAAATAAATTACATTACAACTAAATACATTGGACCATTAGGCCATCTGAGGCAACTGGATTAATATTAACATTTTAATCCAAGGATCTCTTACAGCTGTTTCTTGAAAGAGATTCCAAGGTATCAGTTTCAATCAAGAAGTGGTGGATTGAGATGCTTGGTAACTGACAGTCTTACATAAGTTGATTAACACTAGATGTTTTATCAAACTGAATCTGGCACTGACAGTGCAACACTCTGAAGGAGAGACACTTTCTGGTGGTATCAAAGTGTTCTCAGCCTAGGCAAGGAAAATCAACTCAGCTCTTTATTCACCAGCAGAGGAATTCTAATTCAACTGCAGATGTTTTCGGTTTTGTGTCAACAATGTGTGCAAGTGTTTTACAATGCACAAAGAAATACCTGATTCATTTGTTCTCCTTTCTCCTTTGTTTAATCAAAGACTTTCCATTCCTACAGTATATGTAAATACTGCTTTTACACCTTAAACAAAAAACGTCACAAAAATTATGTAGTGATTGCTCTGGAGGAGTATAATCTGTCCAGGGAAATAGGGTTATTTGTTAAGTAAAGTGTCTTGACCAAGCACTGGAAGGGTTAACAATGAGAGCTGTGAATTTTCTGTGTGTTTTATGTACAAAGGATCTACAACTCATTAACTTGTAAAATGCACAATTATAGCCAGAGCAGAGCCAAGGTGTGCTAAACCTTATTGAGGGTGCAGGTACAACAATAAAACAATAATACATGTTAATAATAAAATAAGGTTAATATTAAAAAGGGTGTAACATATTATTGATTACTAAATATTATAAAGTACAGACTCCTTACTACCACCATGTACTATATAAAATAAATATATGTATATATTTAATAAGTAAAACCGTACACATTCTTTATTCAAAATGAATTTAAATATGGAAAAAAGTATTAATAAAATATAAATGATGCATTTATATGATGTGTCACTGTATAAACATGTCAGTGAAAAGAGAAGTGTTTGGTTATCCACATGACACATTTTAGACTAATGTCTCAAAAATTGATTTCTTTTATTGTGAAATGGTTTGTCAGCCAATGCCTGTCTCTAAGGAATCAAATACTATAGTGTGTCATTGATATTAAGGGAAACAGGTGTTCCACTTAGATTTAATTGCAACTATGAAACAGATTTAATGTGCTACAAATAATATGGAATGCTTGATTTTAGATCCTTAAAAAACTACGAGAAAGTTTGCAAACACTTTGATAGTCTTCTTTAGAAGGAGAACAGATGACAATGTTATTGATGTACACAATGGCTTTACCACTAAACTTTCAGTGAATGTTTAGTTTACTTCGGTGTGCTTTTTTTTGCTGAACATTGATGAATAATGATTGAGGGTATTCAAAGATTTAAGCGTGTTATGCAGTCAGCCTGAGACAGTTGCTTCAGATTCCAGAATTCTCAAATAATATACTGCCTTGAGCTAATGAAGAAAGTGCAGCAGAAAGCTGGGATCTGTCATGATGTATACAGTATCTCTACATAATGATGACTTTGAAACAGTTTCAGATTGTAAAAAAACTGGATGCATTACTTAGATGTACAAATATTATTCTACACCTCTGTCTCGCACACATCTAGGCTTGTTTCTTGTCCACATCTTGACCTACAGTATATCTTCCACACATCTTCAGCAGAGTGGTTGCTCTGTGTCTAAGGATCTGCGCCTGTGGGTGGAAGGTTGCCAGTTCAAGTCCCGCAGCCAGCAAAGGAATCCTACTCTGTTGGCCCCCTGAGCAAGGCCCTTAACCCCAACTGCTCCAGGGGCGCTGTACAATGGCTGACCCTGTGCTCTGACCCCCAGCTTCTCTCCCTGCCTGTGTGTCTGTGTCTCATGGAGAGCAAGCTGGGGTATGCGAAAACACAAATTCCTAATGCAAGAAATTGTATAGGGCTAATAAAGTTATGTTATGTTAGTCCATATTACTGCTACATGCTGAACTTATTTTAAACTAAAATAGTTGCTGTCAGTTCCAAGATCCTCTTGCAAAGAGGTGAACCACGTCTTTGAAACACTCTGCTTTCTTTGAACCTTCACACAGTCTTTCATATTGAAACTAAAGGTGTCAATAACTTAGCACAAATAAGGTTCACAATACACATGAGCATGGCATAATTGCAGAAATACAAAATTTTAAAATTTCATGTAATTAAACTCAAGCTGTGTAGGGTCCTATGTTGCTGAGTGCTGAGCTTTTTTTATGAAACTTATCATTTCTGAACAATATTCAGTCTAGTTATGATTGTATGGTGTAATGCAAAAGACGAAAGTCTAGTGAGTTACCATGGAAACATAAACCTTTAATAACACTGAAAATTAAAACCTTCATGGAAGTTTCACTCATACAGACAGAATCTAAGAGTCTATAACTTTTGGGTGTTGATTTGTACTGTGGTATTGAACATGACTGACACACTGACACTGAATTTGAACAGTTTGCAAAAGTGTGCATTATATTTCATTGAGGCACATTGAAGTTTTTTGTCATGATTATGAGAGAAAGTTTAGAGAAGTTACAGTATTCTAAATTATAAATGAGCTAGTTTTTATAGATGTAGAAATATAAAACATTCTATAATATTTACATGGCTTTTCTTGTTTTCTTCCTGTAGGAACTGAACAATTGCAAGTATGGCAGTGCCACTGGCAGAAACCCCTTGGCGCTCGATGCCAGATGAGATCCAGCATCCCTATTCCAAGTTCTCCGACTGGAAGTTCAAGCTGTTCCGTATCAAGTCCATTGAGAAGGCTCCACTTCCCCGGGAACAAGAGACCCAAACTGCCCATATTATTTTATCAGAACCTTCAAAAGATGAAGAAATGATGGGGGTTAAAAGTCCCTCAATGGGTGTCATGAAGCTCTGCTTGGGAGCAAAGACCAAGGAGACTGTGGAGAACAGTCGAGTGGATCTGAAGATTGTGGAGATAGAAACCCACATGGCGCGACTGGTGTCTCTCTGCAGGCTCTGTGGTGGGGCTCTGAAAAGAGGCAAGACCAACCTAGAGCATGAGGTCCAGGGCCCTTTGGATGACACGAGCCGAGATGCGCTAAGGAAGATGGGGTGCAAGGCCCGAGGCTGGCCGGAGGTCATTCTGAAAGTCTTCAAGGTGGACGTGACAAGTGACCTAGAAACAGTTCACCCCACCTTCTTCTGCCACCGCTGCTGGAAGGTGGCTATGCGAGGGGGAGGCTTCTGCTGCTTCTCTAACACTCGAGTTCCCCAGTGGAAACCGCATTCAGCATACTGCAGGCTCTGCTCCCAGACAGGCGTGTCTCTCAAAAGGAAGTACAAGGCTCCCAGCTCCCACATAGCCAAGAGGACCAGGTTAGACCTTCATGAACGAGGTGTCAGGGGCCGGAAACCCAAAAGTCTGGGCAACGGCAAGGTGTGGGCCAAACCTCATGCTCAAAGAAGCTTATGGGTCAAAAAGATCACAGGCTGCAAAAACATCCACCTCAGCACTAATCTCCTTCTTGGGGACTACCCAGCTGATTTCGTCCGTTCCGTCAGCTGCCAAGTGTGTGATCACCTGCTTGCTGACCCTGTCCAGTCATCATGCAAGCACCTCTTCTGCCGATTGTGCATCCTGAAGTACATTCGTGCTCTTGGAACCCATTGCCCTGCCTGCAGGCAGCCCTGCATCCCATCTGACCTGGTCACTCCAGCTAAAGCTTTTATGGTCATTCTCCACTCCCTCGTGATCAGGTGCCCGGCGCAGGACTGTGACGAGCATGTGCGGTTAGAGGACTATGGGGCGCATACCCTGAGCCACCAAGAAGGCCAAAGCAACGACAATTACTTGCCGGTGAATAAAGGAGGGAGACCACGTCAGCACCTGCTCTCACTGACCCGCAGAGCCCAGAAGCACCGACTGAGGGGGCTGAAGCACCAGGTGAAGGTGTTTGCAGAGAAGGAAGAAGGGGGAGACATCAAGTCCGTCTGTCTCACCCTCTTTTTGCTGGCCCTGAGAGCAGGCAATGAGCACCGACAGGCGGACGAGCTGGAGGCCATGATGCAAGGTCACTGTTGTTACGATCTCTGATCTAAAATTTGTAAAAATTATAATTGAAGGATTAATTGATGAAGAAATTCAGTAAGAGTTATTTAACTGAATATAATGCAGCGTATGTCTCTGAGGGCTGCTGTTGAATTCCTGCTGAGAAATAAATTGTAACCAGAGGCTATTTTTATTCATATAATTTCAAGCTAAATGAAAGGCAGGAAAATTGTTCTCTTACTCATATGCAATGAATATGTGCAGATAAAAATACCATAAGCACACATAATTCACTTTAACCATAGTCCATCTCTCTAAGGAATAAAACCAGATGGCCTTTATTTTCATCTCAAACCACAAGATTAATCTAATCCTTTTATTGCTATTAATTACTTTTATTACTAAACATTTAACACAAGAAAATCACTTATTATGGAACTAAAATCTACATCTACATCTACAGTTAGGTCGTTTTAAAAGCTTTTTCTCTGTGATCAGACTCTCTTGGAAGTCAAGATTGCAATATATTTATCCATGAATGTGTTTTACCACTCATTCTCTTATTGGAGTGGTTTGGATATCTTTTTAATTTCTCTGTTGAATGCTTCCATTCAAAACAAAAATGCATTATGTGTTTAATTTAGCATTAAAAATAATGCCTTGGGGAATGATTGTCATTGCAGGACACCTTAAAAATGTAAAAAACAATGTACTGTTACTTTATATACATAAATAATCTTACAGCCAGTGCAAATAATTATAATCAGAGGGCAGGTGAAAATGTAAGTTTATTCAATATGAATACAAAATGAGCTACAGTAACAGTATATTATCTTAACCAAACACATAGGTTTTAGTTGTGGCAATGTTTATGTAGTGGTTAAATTTGATTCATTTGACAGAGCAATTTCTTGTATTTTCAGGAAGAGGATATGGGCTACATCCTGCTGTTTGCCTTGCCATCCGAGTCAACACCTTCCTGAGCTGTAGCCAGTATCACAAGATGTACCGCACTGTCAAAGCAACCAGCGGGAGGCAGATCTTCCAGCCTTTGCACACCCTCCGTAATGCAGAGAAAGCCCTGCTCCCAGGATACCACCACTTTGAGTGGCAGCCAGCACTGAAGAACGTCTCCACCAGCACAGATGTCGGGATAATAGATGGGCTTTCGGGCTGGACGCCTTCTGTGGATGACCAACAGATGGACACCATCACTCGGAGGTTTCGCTACGATGTGGCTCTTGTTGCAGCTTTGAAAGACTTGGAAGAGGACATTCTGGAGGGCATGAAGGAACAGGGGTTGGATGATAGCTCCACTGAGGGCTTCACTGTTGTGGTCAAGGAGTCCTGTGATGGCATGGGAGATGTCAGTGAGAAACACGGGAGTGGCCCAGCAGTTCCTGAGAAAGCCGTCCGCTTCTCCTTCACCATTATGTCCATTTTGGCTCGGAATGAAGAAGGGGAAAATGTGAAAGTCTTCCATGAGCTGAAACCAAACTCTGAGCTCTGCTGCAAACCCCTGTGCCTGATGTTTGCAGATGAATCTGACCATGAAACACTAACCGCTATCCTGGGGCCTGTGATGGCCGAACGGGAAGACATGAAAGAAAGCCGTCTAATCCTTTCCATCGGAGGTCTCCTGAGGTCCTTTCGATTTATTTTTAGGGGAACAGGGTATGATGAAAAACTGGTTAGGGACGTAGAAGGACTTGAGGCATCTGGCTCAACTTACATCTGCACCCTCTGTGATTCGACAAGGGCAGAAGCTTCCAAGAACAAGGTGCTCCATGCAATAACTAGGAGCCATGAGGAGAACCTGGAGAGGTATGAGATCTGGAGAACCAACCCCTACTCAGAGTCTGCAGATGACCTGCGCGATCGGGTCAAAGGAATCTCGGCAAAACCCTTTATGGAGACCCAGGCATGCATCGACGCATTGCACTGCGACATCGGGAATGCCACTGAGTTCTACAAAATATTCCAAGATGAAATCGGAGAAGTCCACCTGAACAGCAGCCCCACCAAGGAGGAGAGGAAACGGTGGCAATCTGCTCTTGACAAACAGCTGAGAAAGAAAATGAACCTCAAGCCAGTCATGAGAATGAACGGCAACTTTTCACGAAAGCTGATGACCAGAGAGACAGTGGAGGCAGTGTGCGAGTTGGTGCCCTCCAAGGAGCGGCAGGAGGCCCTCAGGGAGCTCATGCATCTCTACCTGCAGATGAAGCCTGTTTGGCGCTCCACCTGTCCTGCCAAAGAGTGTCCTGACCTGCTCTGTCGTTACAGCTTCAACTCCCAGCGCTTTGCTGAGCTCCTGTCTACCACCTTCAAGTACCGCTACGATGGAAAAATCACCAACTACCTCCACAAGACCCTCGCCCACGTGCCTGAGATCATCGAGAGAGACGGGTCTATTGGGGCTTGGGCAAGCGAAGGGAACGAGTCCGGGAACAAGCTCTTCCGCAGATTCCGCAAGATGAATGCCAGGCAGTCCAAAAGCTACGAGTTGGAAGATATTCTCAAACACCACTGGCTCTATACTTCCAAATACCTCCAGAAGTTCATGGAGGCGCACAAGAATTCAGCCAAAGCACTGGAAGCCACCATCAATCCAGTGGAGACCCAAGACGAAGATATCGATGTCATGGACTCAATTGAATTTTGAGCAAGCCAAGGCAGTGCTGTTGTTTTCCTGAAAACTGGTTCTTGTTTAGAACTAAGGCTGTTGGCCAGGAAGACCGAGGAAAACAGTCTTTAAATTAGCTGCGACAGCCGAATGGCTTGAATTCGGCCACTTATATGATTTAGTTCAGGCTGAGTGATGGAAGGGAGGAAGTAAAAGACTTTCTTTAAGGCCTATGTCATGCTACAGCAGACAGTTCGGTCATAAGAGAAGAGAAAGAAGCATATCACTTTTTAACAAAGATCTGCAAATTACTATATGCTTATGTGGCTTTGAGGATTTAGGAAGTATATTGTTTTTGTGAGGCAAAAGTGTTATTTTATTTGAGAGTCTCAAGGAATTATTAGTAGTGAGAATTATATTTATATACTGTACATAATCTACAGTACAGTATATCTATTTTGAATCACATATTTTTATTAAAGTACTTTGTTCAGCGCTCCGTGGAGACAACACTAAAATTGGAGCATTTCATGACTTTAAAACTAACAAAAAATGTGCACAATCCATTCCACTAATGCTCTGCTTATGAGAATATACTGTTAATTGCTTCATTTTAAAAGACATTTTTGTTGTTGGTGTAGGAGAGACTGTCTTTTGAAGGTTTCAGTTTCAATCAGAAAACTGGAGATAAATGTAATTTATGGAGATGAAAATATTCTACCTCACATTGGGAGACCAACAATATTAGTAAATATAATTATTATAAAACTTTAGAATAATAACAGAACTAATTGCATATTGTAGCACTAGAACAGGCTGCACTGTATATGTACGTGACTTTTGTGGGCAGGAGTCAATATTTTGGTGATATGGAAAATACACTTGATAGGGTAAGAAAACTAGATTTATTTTGCAAGATTCACAGAAAGACAGTAAATTTGAGTTCAGCAAAGGCTTAATTTTTACCTTGCTTCTTACAAAACCATTAAAATATACAAACTAACCAGTTTACCTCACAGCAATATTGTGCACAATATTAATCTCAATTGAACTTTCAATGAGTTATTTTTAATTTTAAACATTTAATAATGTTTACTGTTTTATATAATTTTGTTTCTTAGTTTAATCGCTTAGTTTGTAAATATAAAAATATTATTTTTTTAATGTTTATATTGTGATTTGTTTTTTTTTTAAACTTTTATCTCCATGAAAATCACTCACCACTGGCTAATGTCAAAACCAAGATAAATGTCAACTAATTTAGATAAAAAGAATCAGTAAAACTTAAAGTAATCAATAAGATATTTGGAATATGCTGTTAACATTTTGGTTGAATTTAAAAAAAATATCTGAATCTTTGTCTTTATATATTTAGAGTAGCGTGAAGCATTATATTCTTAGTCATTAAAGGCAGATTGCAGTGAAATAGCAATTAATATGCTTAACGCTTAATAGCATATTGCAATGAATCATTGACCTAATGCAAAAAAGACAAGATTGCACTGTATCTCTTTTTTTCTGCTGAAGACAAAAAAAAGTCAAATGAGATAATTTCTAATCCAATTCCCTTTCCAGAAACTGGGAAAGGACATCTTTCCAAATATTTTTGTCTCCTCTGTCCAGATAACCCAGTAAATCCCAACTAAAATCAAACATAATGTCAGAATTTAAATAATATAGGAAAAAGTAATACTGTAGGTTTATTCCATGCTGAAAAGAGAAGAAAGAAAACACAACGTTTCGGCTGTGGAGCCTTCTTCAGGTGTGAGAAAAACACGGTAGCAAAGCCTCCTGAACTACTTTAAGTAATATATTTTTGTTCTGCTTATTTTATTGCGCGTTGAATAATATTCTAATGTTATTATGCAGTAGGACTAAGATACATCTTAATATAGCTTGAGTACATGCTATCTGGTATTGATCTCTCTCACACACACTCATATCAATAAAGTATAATATTGTAGACATACTGTATATTGGCAGCAAAGTGAATCACTGATGCAGAACATGTATTAAAGCATTGTTGGCACAACTAAACAAAGTAGCCTAAAGTCATCCATTGAGGTGCAGAAATGCATACAAGATAAATGAGCATTTAAATACATTTCAAAGACGTAAAAACAGCAAGTAAGGACAGCTTCTCAAACCATATTACATTAAACAAGAAGGATGGGAAATACCAGGTATGCAAGTACAAAAAGATAAGATTAATGAGTCTGAACCAGGAATCTGTGAACAGAGGAAGGTCTTTGCATGATGCCCTTCTGTTATTTATTTCAGGTTTATACAAATATCTTCAAGAGAGGTGGTCTATAGGTCAGTTTCTCTATAAACAGTAAAATGATCTTTCAAAGCAGACAAAAACGCTGGAGTTCTGGGCAGCCTTTCGTGTAAGCCTGTTGTTACCGTTCCTCACTTCCGCATTTACCAATAGCGTGGGTTCCGCCGCAAACGAGCAGAAAACAAAACTCTTAAGAGCAATTCAGTTTGTCACTGTCTGCTGTCAAAGAGCATTTCTTTGCAGATAACCTATTATAAATGATCTAGCACCGATTTTCAATTTAACGATACGGGATTTATCTGCATACATTGTTTATTGAGATGCATGTTTACGAGTAGGTTTTGCGAGCTGGAAAAGGACATAGAAATGAAATATTTTACAGCCTAAAAATATTACTTTTCTTTATTTCTTACCTTTTTTAAAATAGTTTTCAGTTTAGTATTGTCTTGTATTAACTATGTGTTATTGCTGATATAAATATTTGATAATGTTGTCCTACAGTATATTGTAGTACAATGCGAAGACAAAGCAGTCGTCTACCCCAGTCATTTAGAGGAGTGTGTAAAGAGCATACAGTATGTTATCCAGCAGCTTTAAAAGCTCAATTGATAATCAGTTGATAATCAAAAGTATTACGTATAGTCTTGTGGACTTCCATAACCATCAATAAGCAACCCTTTCGATTAGTTAAATATAATAGTAGGACATACAGAAAGATACAGAACATTTCCATACACATTTTTTAAGTACCTATTATAAAATGCATTATCTTTAGTTTGGTTTGTGAAACATTCAATGCCTTATACTGAGGTTAAATGTTCAGTCCAGTTGTGAACTTTGTTTATTATGTTATTACACTAATTTTCCTATCAGTGTAAAGTGGGAGGGATGAATTTTTACTTTAGGAAAAAAGTTGGTATGTTGAATATTTTTTTGAATTATTCATTCATTTCTTTTGTTTATTGACTTATTATTGGTATATTTTATTATACTGTTGTTTTATTAAATTTGATTTATTCCTAGGGGAGTAATCATTTTTTTTTTGCAGTTTACACATTTTACTGCTATTGGGGTATAGCTCAGTCTTGGAGATTATTTCTGCATGTTTAAAAAAATTACACTATTTTGTTACAGTTAAAGCACTTTCATTCATATGACGTATGACCACATCACTTGACTGAGATGCGATGTTGCCACTTGTGAATTATCAATGCACACTTGTTTGCAAAGCAACATCTCTTTATTTAATTGTTTTACTTTTTGTTATTTCATATTGTTGTTTTATAATAATTATGTTATGTAGAAAGGAAATTAATAAAGGTATTGACAAAAATCAGTGCTGGTCCTATGTTTAATTACGTTATTAGTAGTCAACTGAAATTTATACTCTGGGCCTCATTTTAAATCTTAAAAAAAATGCAAGAATTCTTTTAATTCTTATAAACTTTACAGGTGTTTCCAAAATCCAATATTCAGTGTTGTTGATTTACCAGAATAAATACTGTACAGTTTCATACATGTGAGTTCTTCCAAATAACAAAGACTTTAATACTACAGAAGGCAGTCAATTAACTGTAGCCATAACTGCAAAATTGCTTTATATTAAAATTTGACTTATAGGTTTGGGGATTTGGGATTTTGCAGTGTTGATGTCTACCATTTTTTTTGCTTTGTAATTTGATAAGAAATAAAATGGAGTTCATGCAGCTTGATTTTAAACTCTTTTGCACCTGAAAGTTATCCGGAAAAGCAGGAAACTGAACACAAAAGTTTTCTAGTTCCATACATAGTCATGAACACAATTTTAAGCCCTTACTGTATGTGATTTGCAGTAATAAAATTAATATTGGAGACACCTTTTGTCATTGAGAAGAGTTTGAAATCAATCCCAAATTGATTTCAGTCAATCGCAATCTGACATGAAGAGTAATCTGCCTCACAGATCGTATACCTCGGCTTTGGTTTAGCACTGGGTTGCCTCCTGTGAGGAATGTGCTTCTTTCTGCGTTCACATGGGGCTTTGTCATGGACTCTGGTTTCCTCCTGCACATCAAAGACATGCTGCTTATTGTAATTGGCCAAGCTAATTGTCCCTGTGCCGTGACCCCTAATAGAATTAATTGGCTCTCTGGCAATGGTTGGATGGCTAAGGAAAAACATCTGCAGGCTTACACAGTTTACACAGTAAGATGTTTATAGCTTTTACAAACCTTGTGCTTAAAACCCTCCACTGCCCTTGCTCCATCATTCTTCATAATAGATGACATGAAATCTGTCACTGGGTTAGGAAAGGCAGGCTGTGATTTCCAGTCTGTGAACTGAGCGCTGCGTCACGACAGGCCTCCAATGCAAAGATATTTCCAAGATACAGTACATGGCATCAAAGAAGCAAGTCGTTTCATTGCTTCATTTTAGTTTTTTGTTCTAAACTATATTGATCAGATCTCTGGCACCGCTTAACACTAAAGAGAAGCCCCAGCTGGGATTTTGTTTTGTTAGTTTTTTGGCTGGTTTCCTGTGCAAGTTCTGTTTTTGAAGAGGTTGATTCAATCCCTCTTGGCGAGGGTATAGATTAAATCCTGGAGCCCAGCACAACGTTATCTAAGAAGAACAGGAAAACAAGAGCAGCTGGGTACTGCAGTAGGGTGTACTGTAAAGCAGTGCAGTGTATCCTTGTCTGATTCAACACTAATAGTTTCCACTTCTTGGTTTCAAAAGAGGATATCAATTAATGCATTGCGTTTCCTGTATAATCATTATTTTATTCCAAACAATTCTGAAATACTTGATATATTGTATTGTATACAGTAGGTGACCCACTGAAGTGTAGTACCCATACAGTTATCCTATATGAACCAGCAGCCCAACCACACGGCCACTGAGGTGAATATGTGTGAAATTAAGTCACTAAGGAAAGAAGAACTTGAGGAAAGCCAGGTAGTTCAGTACCACAGTGAAATTCAGCCAGGATGATGGGGTTATCAATTCAACTGCGTGAAAAGTGCCAAGGGGATGTTTAACAACCAAGTCACCAGGATCCAGGTTTAGCATCTCACCTGAAAGACACAACCTACAATCCCCAGTGCCACTGTCACCACACTGGGGTATTATTTGGAAAAGTCTGGTCCAAAAGGCCCAGAATGTGCCTTTTAGCAGTATCCTGGTTTTCCTAAGAGGTCTTTCATGACAGTATTAATGAGGCCCAACCATGCTTAGCTTCTGAGTTCTGATAAAAATCACTTTACAATGTTGAAGTGCTGGACTCACACAATACAAATGTATTTGAAACATGCCCTCCTTCTAGGCATTTTAGGGCTCCTGTGTGTCAAATGTGCATGTGCTCCACAGCTGGTGGAGCATCAACTCACGTCTCTGATTGATGATGTCATAGAATTTTGAGTACTTCAGTTAAGTCCATTAAATGCAGTATATAATCTCCAATCTTCACCTTCCAAGCTAGTAGTCCATGATATTTGGATTAATTGGACCATGGATGTTGGAAACACAGTAGTGCAGTGTTGTAATGCAGTTATAGCAGTTGGAATTCAAGTGTGTTTTTCACAACTTTCAACTGCACTTGCCAAAGAAATAAAATGTTCCTTTTTTTGTGGACTCCTGCCTTCTTCTGTTGCAGACATCATAAAAATAAACTCTGCGTCAACTCTGAGTATCAGTCTTGATGAGAGACGCTTCTTTGAGGTAAATAGAGTGAAATAAACCTGGCGTTATTGCGTTCCTCTGAGAAACATGACTTTTGAATGGCTGACCTTCAGTGGACTCAGTTAAAAGAATATTGGTCTCCTGAAAACAAAAAGGCCGGGAGCCAATTTAAAAGACCATTGGTTTTGAGTGGTTTGTCAGAAAAGGAAAGCAGAAAGTTCACAGTGACCCATGTAGGGGGAATGATTGGTTATTGTCTTGACACTTTCTCAGTTCTTTCTTTATTCTCCTGTTTTATTTATGTCACATTTTCAGAGGCAGATTTCCTCTAGGGTAGCAGGAAAAATTACTGTCCTGTGAAACCAGGGGATGCAGGAAAAACAGGAAAGCCAGTTAGCAATGTATGGTTGGCAAAGAATGCAAAGATAATTGATCAATTGAAAAAATACATTGTTAAGGTAAGGTCTAGATCAAATCTGTCTCTTATGCTTGCAGTGTTATTGTAAAGGAACAGGCAAAGGTCCATTCTTATCTGAAACACTACATTTCAGCTGTGAAGCACAACTGAAGAAGGGTTAAACTGCCAAAACTTATTGTTTCTTTTCTTCACTTTTCGGCATGGAATTAAAACTTTATTTGTTCCTTTGCAGTCTACACATCCTGATGCAGCTCTGTACTTAAATTGTTTTTTTTATGCTTTCCTCAAAAGACCAAATTGTAGGTGCAATATGTACAGTAACCCAATCCAGGTTTAGCCCATTTGAATGTATCCAAATTGGTCATTTTAAAATTTAAATTGAATTGTTCAATTAAAAATGAGCACCTTTATTCGAAGGCTCCACTCCCTAATTTTGCTTTGCGCTATAAAGACACAAGGAATTTAATCTATGTATTTATTAACACAATTTATTGGACATTCTTTTTAATAAAATTGGACACACAAGGGGTCTGAACTTTATTTTAATAATTAAAAAGCTTTTTAACAGGTCCGGGTCTCCAATCCCCTGCACTGTGGAGTGATACGAACACAGTTCAGTTATATAGAAAACATAAAATCACAGGGAAGGTTGCATGTGAGAGGGGGGTATTAAGACCTTCACAATTAATTGGTTGCTCGATTATAAATCTGATTATAAAAAGATTCTAAAAGAAATGAAAGGATCAGAGTGAATGAGCTTCCTCAATGTGGTTTGTTCCAAATATTAAGTGTGAAGAACTGCTTCCTATTATCAGCCACACATATTCTCTGGTCCTAGTTTACTAGTGAAGCATGAATTTGTTCTTTGGGTTTTCTGTCAGTTCCTCTTTTTGGATGTGAATCAAGCTGACATGTGTGTGAAGGCAAATTGAGAGAAAGTTATTTTGTCAGCATTTTGCTAGTGTGGATGTTAAACTCATAGTAAGTAACAGTGGTGAATTATGCAAACAATTGTAACTAATGTTAAAGGAATAAATACGCAGCGATGTGCATCATAGAAAAAAATATTAGTTCTATTTGTCTGTAAAGAGCTGTCTCTGAATGGTGTTTGTAAACCTAAAAAATTACTGTTGCTGATCCCATTAACTAAAAAACTAAAAACCCCTTTCTTTGTTTTTTATCCTTATTAGTATTAAAGTTTAACTCAAACTCACGTATGCATGACTTATAAATGTATAGCTTTAGTTTAAGAAGCTAAGTGCTTTATGAGAAATCAACTGAGGTCACTAGTTTCTGGTTGAGAGTTCAAAAGATAATAAAATAATAATGTGACAAAGTCATGTTTTTTTCATTTTGCTAGCAAACGTTTACATGAAAAAATAAAATACATAATTCTAGCTCAAAAGTTTTTCTTTTTATTTAAGCTGCCAGTGTGCTACATGGAAAAATACAAAACAACAGTTTCAAGAACTACAATGCACTCAATTAAAATAATCTTAGAAAAGATAATAGAGGAAACAAATTGGATGTTCTGTTTTCCACATATTCCTTTTGGTCAAGAAAGGTTTGTCTGAATTAGACAGTAGATATTATTCAAATAGCCTCCTGAGAAAAGTCTTCTTTGCAGGGCTCATCTTAAGCTTTATAGGTGCCTTTCTGTGTTGTGTCTTCATGGGCGTGCGCTTCAAGGGTGGGATCTTCTGCGGAGGGGTCCGAAGGCCCTGCACCACGTCCATGTGGTCCACGCAGAAGTACTTAGTGTTTTCCTGGGAGAGACGGACCAGAAGGGTCTCTGAAAGATCCATGCACTGGGCGTGGACCCAGTGTCCACCCTCTCCCCGGGAGCAGAATATCATGGCTGGCTTGTTGAGCTCGGTGGAGTAGAATGGTACCCAAGTGTTGATGTCCACTTGACAGTCAAGGCAACACTTGATCCAGTAACCGGTCTGAGATTCATCGTCCTCATCCTCTTCATTGTAGGTGTCTTCATCGTTACTGTCCTCCAGCTCGCTGGGGTCGCGGTTGAAGTAGAACTCTTCCGAGTCTTCCAGTGGGGCGGAGTCCTCCAGTTCTTGGTCGGTGGATTCTTGGCTGCAGTTCTGTCCCGGTTCCTCTTCCTGGCGGAAGTTGACCGTGTAAAAGTAGTGGACTTCTGGAACATTGTGCCTTCCATCTGCAGGGACTCCAATAAGTACCAGCCCTTCACCCATGTTTCCTCCAAACCAGGTCTTGCTGTGGCAGATTTCTCCACTCCACTCCGGCGGCTCTCTGCTTGTTATGTGGATCCCGCTGTCCTCCAGAAGCACTGTGTTGCACTCCAGGCGTTTCTCAGATTCAGACTTGTAGCCGCCCATAATGATGTATTCATGGCTCGAGCCCACCCTTGTCACAATAGCACTGGACACAGAGATTCCGGTGTTCAGGACTTCACAACTGACAATGGGGCTGCCCAGCAAGAGCTCCACACGGAAGCGGAAGAGCCTGGCAGGGCGGGTGTTGTTGGCCAAGGTGTGGCCACCCAGAACGTAGACAGAGTCCTTTCGGGAGAGAGAAACATGAAAGGACTGGCCATCTGTCAGCTCCGGGAAGGTATAAGAAGAACAGCAACCAAAGTCTAGGTCTATGAGAAACACTTTTGGAAGACAGTCAACCACACTGTTCCAGTTTTCAGTGGTCCTCTGCCCCGGGGGCATATACGACCTGCCACCGAAAAGCAGACATGCTCGTTTTCCACGGCTGTAGACAATGCTCATTGTGTGACCATACCGGGCTTCAGGAATGTCTCCGGCGAGCTCTTTCTCCACACACTTTAGGGTCACCTTTTTGTTGCATCCTCTGCTGTCCAGGGACATGATGTAGAGGCAACCGGAGAGCTCATTGTTGGGAGTCCTGCCCCCATGAATAAGGAACTTCTTAGTGTCACTGGACTCTAGATCCTCAGGTCCTGAGTGGGTGATAGCAGGGCAGCGCAAAGGTGGCAAGTAGCAGGAGTCATTGGAGAACAAAACTGACCTCAATTTGAGTTCTCCCTTCTTGAGGCGGACATTAAAGACTCCTGTGGGGCAAGATCGCTTGGGCCAACCTTTCTGGCCAAACAAGAACACATCTCCATCGAAATTCATCAGAGAGAAGCCAGGGTGGATCAGGCTGGAGCAGTTCACAGCTGACACCAAATGCAGGGACATTGTATTTTGCTGTGCTTTAGGACCTGTGTGAGACACAAAAACGTACAGTATAGCAGAAACTAATTCCACACAGAAGCGTAGAAAGGAATAGCACAGCACAGGTTTAAAGGTGAAGAAGGTTCAGGTGTGAAGATGTCCACGCTTGAAAAAGACTCAACAGTGAAACATCAAATTCTTCCTTTCTTTCAGCTTTTCCTTGTGGACTCAACCTTTCCTTGTAACTATGTAGATATATATATATATTTATGATTTAGTTTAAAAAAGCATTTCAGGAAATTTGACTGAGGAAAATTATTTTTTTATAACCTTTTCATTTTTTCCCTATAAAATGACATTATAGAACATAAGCTGAAACTATTGGAGCCATTTAGGTATCTACAAAAATGACAGTTCTACCATTTGCTGTGTTTAAATATGTTGTACTCTAAAAAGCTCATGCCTTCCACATCTCAGTGAATCTCTGTCTGATAAATTCTCTGTCAAAGCAAAGCGAGACTGATGGCTCAATCTGCTCTCTGTGTTGGCTCCATTACTTTTGAATGGGAGGCTATTTCAGAACTCTTTGTCTGCAGAAAATTGAAGTCTGACACTTATCTAAAATTTCAGGTCATTGCTTCATTTTAAAAGAAATCATAAATGCAGATTTGTTTAAAATTGCAGTTAAGTTAGGTTATTACTAATCCATATCTGGCTCTGCCATGCTTTGAATCTCCTATTGGCTTGCATTGTGCTGTAAATATAATCATTATGCATTGAAAACTGAGCATTAGTTTCATTTCACCTCCGGGACGTTTCCGTCCTTCAGCTTCCTGCATATGAATAAGCATTTCAAGGACAGTCTAATTTTGAGTTTTTCTGTTTTTAATCTTGACTTCCACCACTTACTTTATAACTCACAATTAAATCATTAATTTACAAGGGAGGTGCTGTATTTATTCCTCAGAGACAGTGTAAGAATCTACCCACAAAGAAAGGTGAAATAACCCAGCTAACCCTGAAAACAGTGAGCCCCTTTCCCTTTCCTAAGGAACATACAGGAACCAGACTCCTCTTTTTCCACTAACAGCCAGAGTCCCAGCCCTTTAACACATTTCTCAACTATCCGTGAATGATCTGGAGAAGAAAAAATAATTTTACTGTTTTAAAGTTTTTTTTTGGAGCAGGTTACATCAGTCATGAGGGATTCATAACTGCATTATGAAAAAATAAATAATACTTTTTGTAGAGAACTTAAGGATTTTTCATGCATACCTTAGGTCTCTTTGAATACTTATCATGCTGACACCATCTGAGCTCCTAGTCCTCACAAATACATAATATCAGCAAAGACCACACAGATAACTCTCCAGAGTTTGGAAATTCATTATGGACTCTTACTGGTGTCTTACAGGACACAGCCGAAACGTTGTGTTTCTTTTCTTTTCAGCATGGAATAAACCTTTAACGTGTTCCTTTGCAGCCTACGCATGCAGACATAGCTACCTACTTAATAAAGGTATTATACAACAATTGTGCTATCGCACGAGTTCGTAAAGTACGTGTGAAGTACTAAATCATAATTACGAGATAAGGGTGATGATTTTTTTTCCTTGGTGGCAGCAATGCGCTTCCGAAATTCAGGAATCCACAGATTGTGTTCTTTTTTACAGCATCATGTAAACCTATTTACTGTATTCTATCTAGACACCTTACTGTAATTTTTGGTGCCATTCTCAGATCACGGACTTCATAGTCTATTTTGTGCGGAGACACAGGAAGTGCCAGAGGAAACTACATTTCCCATGTTACATTGCTCCAAACCGTTGCTTGGAGAAGGTTTTGGGAACTAGGAAGTAACGTAAGTTTTATTTTTCATGTTGTTTCTTTTTTTCACGTGTTAAAGTTCTTTTTAAATCTTATAACAAGAACATCCAGGGTAATATAATTGATGATAGCTATCGTACAGTATGTGCAATGTTTTCCGTAACTCCCCATGCAAATACGCAATCTGAATGATTGCATGGGTATAATAGACCTCTCAATATTAGTTGGACGTACCGGTATTTAATTTTCATTTACTAGCCTAGAACGTTATTATTCTATATTTATTATATTATTGTTGTGTTTTGAGCATTAGTTCTACGGGATGTGAAAAGATTCATTTACAGTAAAAGCTTTAATTAACTTTTTCGTACACTGTCCATGTACTGTCTATGGACGTGTCCCCTGCGTTTTACAGTACCATTCTTTCACCGGTTTTCTGTTACAGCACCTGTCATTGCCCTTTATTTTAAGATGAATCTTTTTCTCTTCACATCGTTATTACAATGATGAGAATGATAAATTACAATTATTCATTGTAATAATAACGATACAATAGCTATTTAATTTCAAGAGTGAAAACATCCCAAGAAATTCCCATTGGAAATTTACCCCAGTAAATACGCTCGGTAATTTATCTTATATTTTACTGTTACTTTGTCAGTTTCCGTTTGCTTTCCGTTGACCACAATGATCCACTCTTTCGCATGATCTTTGGAGATTCCTTTGGTTGTAAAGTACTTGCTGTGGTCTACAACTATCAAAATTCATAAAACGTACAGTCATGGCATTTCGGTTTGGCTGTTGTGTTACCTGATAATATTGTATTAACAATCCTTTATTTATCCCGTTTGCACTGTTATTATTTTACAGTTTAGTAGCTGTAAGTCACCTTTAATAAAGCAGTGGGTGATTCCTCTTGAATTCACTGCAGAGTTTGTACACTTTGCTAAACTTTCTTCTTCTGAACATTTAGGGAAAGAGGCCCCGTTTTTCCCTGTTAAGCGAGGGGAATCCTCCTCTTACCTTAGGGAAGTTGGGAGAGCGTCTCCGCTAGGGCTCTTGGGATGATCCTGTGAAACGCCTGTGTGTGTGATTTTCACCTTGCAGAGCTGGAGAGGCAACAGAGGCAGAGACACCGCCAGGCTGAGATGGGGTGTGCAGATGAGGGCCCGGGGGCAGCTGGCTGTGACTTGTGAAGCAGATGTGTTGCTAGCATGTGCAGAGAGCACACAGTCTTTCTCTCAGCCTGGAGCGCAGCGCAGGGGATCTGCAGACGTAATGCAAGCCATCTAGAGTGCTCGCTCCGAGACAGCTTGCATAGAAAACCAAGTCACTGCAAGAGCCCGTGGCCTCCTTAAGGATCGTGAATACAACCAAAAGACCTCCCTTCCATTGTCTTAGTGAGCAACACTGCGTTTACTTGGGTACCGGACTGCAGCTCAATGAAATAATACCTTTTCCATTAGAAATTGACAGAAGGCTATTTACAGTATATTGAAAAGACTCCCCATTGCTACTTTGTTTTTATCTAGTTTGAAGGTGGGTTCTGAATAGTTTTTAAAAAGTTGATTGTGACATACTGTATATACAGTATACATTTTCATGTTACAACTATATTTTTACAGTGTTAACAAAAATATTGTAGGACAACAAAGCTTTTGAAAACTTGTTAATTTACTGCTGCTGGGTTATACTGTACAGAGCCCATATTCTTTAGTACAATTAGGTATGTTTCTCTTCTGCCTGCTCGTCTTTTGATCTTCACTATTGAGCATGTTATTTATATTCCAACAAGACTTGTATAATTTATATATTTTTTTATAATTAATGTTCACTACAGTATATCTAGATCCTTTTAGGCTTAGGGGTGTAAATTACATTGTATGGGTTTAAATAACTTTGATTGAGATTATAGTCCTTCAGATGTAATGAATTAGCTCCTGAAATGGACACTGAAGAACTCAGAATTATAGTACTAATACTTTTATGCAGATTTAGCCAATGTTGTAAAGTTCCAGAAATCATCCAAATGTAGAATGCATGTGCAGTTTAGCATTTGCTTTATTCTAAAAACAATTCCTGTGAAGAGGGACAGCGGGATTGTTGTTCTGTAGCAGATCCCACTTCTCTTATTGCTGTTTCTGTGCCAGAACCAAGTAATATTACAAGTAAATTGCAAATGTTTTTGTAATTGTAATAGTACTAACTTTCCTTCTCTGGTCACCGCTAGCTCTCAACTTTGCTCAGAGCTTCAAGGAAAGTATTACATGTACAGTAAACAGTACATATTGTAGGTTATGACATTATTGATCAGGAATGTATTAGACGGTAACAGTTCTGATTTTCTTCACATACATGTTCTCAGTGGGCCTCTTACTTAATGTGTATTTATGTACAAGTATTTGTTGGCTGCCATCTCATTAATCCATATCTGATGAAAATTGCCCCCGGGGAACTGTTGAGACTTCACAGCTTAAATTGACACTTCATAACTAAGACAGATTTCCCTATAGCTGCTCTGGCTCCTCCTTGGAATAATAAAAAAGTCTGAGAACTGTGCTGGATTTCATCTTCCTTTTTCTTTCCTTCACTCATCATGAATACAGTACCTTTTTGGGGATAAAAATATAAGAATTTCAGTCTCTTAGTAACATTAGTGGCTTGATTATTTTGCACCTTTTTATTAGTTTTTTCTATTGATTATTGAGACAGAACAATTGGTGCTCTTTGTGATGACATTTGATCTGCCCTATTTAAATGAAATAACAACTTGGCAGTGTAATCTCTTCCTGGTGTTTAGCTGTCTCCAGGCAGTTGGCTTTTTTCTCTTGCTCACAGCTTTCACACAATCAACTGCAACGCAGAGGCCATCGGGTTCTTGACATAATGCACTTGATGCATGTTTCTGTCAGATGTTTTGCTCCTTGGACATGGTTTTCACTAAAGACTGTAGAATTTCAGTGGTGAGGAAAATATATTTTGGGCAAATCTTCCAGTATATGAAATGGTGCAGATTATAATTTGCTCTTTTAAAGATTATTGCCGACAGTATGGAACAGTCTATGTCTAACATATAGTCTAACATAGTCTATGTTATCAGATTGCTCTAAATTACGTAATTGTTTGTTTCCCTTGTTTATTTGTTTCTCTACACCTGTTTGCTAACATCAATGCCACTATTTAGTTTGAGATCATACAGTAAGTGGTATTGGTTGGTAGTACTGTAGTGTGGTTCTAATAATCTATTTAATCTGTCATTCTGTAGCTCAGTTCTGTTTAAGGTGCATTACCAAATATCACAGAAATGGCCTCATCAGCGACGCTCAAGTCCCTCTTCTACATAGTAACCACTGCTAATGGTTTATACATGTATGTACTGTTCTAAAATAAAAAGGGACATAAATAAGAAAAGCAGTATGTTTTGCCAAGTTTACTGTAATCTATGCTTCTAAAAACAATGAAAAAATTCACATAATTTAACACCACGGAAAATGGATAAGAGTCCTATTGCATAGTAGCTGGATTAACTTTCAAGTTTTGAGATTTGGAAGATGTGGTGCAAGGTAACTCGCATGCTAGATATTTCAAGCTTGTTACTTTATTTTGAGTAAATCTGCACTGTCAAGTTCAAGTAATATAAAATGCATCACTTTTCTGCAGTTTCTGTACAATTAGTGCATGATCTTGTTGCTCATGAATATTGAATATACTGTATCAACACTGCAGTGTTGGTCTTTTTTCATTAATCTCAATACTCTTAAAAATCCTTTTTTAATTATGAGTGGGAACTTTGAATTCACTGTTTTTGTAATTTAAGGGTATAATGCATTTTTTACAATTTATAATAGGTGGGAGTTTTCTCTTCTGGTAAATTCTCTCTTCCCACAAAATATTCATTCTAATCCCCGTTTGAGCTCGTTTCACTCCAGATTGTTGCATGCTATAAAAATGAGGCATTAACCTAGTTCTGAAAGCCTATCATCTTAATTTTCAACGCACTCTTTACAGTCCTGCTGCAGTAGCCTGTCCCACACTGTTAAGGATGCCGTTTCTGTATTCTGAACAGATCTGTGAATGTAAATGCAGTGATGTACAATATAAGTTGTGTTAGCAAACCGTGTACTGTGTGAAGGGCACCTGTGTTTGGGGGAGGGTTGCCCTTGACACCTTCCTTAGGTTTTGCGAGATCTGCAGCTCATTGCGGTGGCTGCAGACACAGTGATCCTTCATCACAAGCAGTCAGTCAGCAGCTGCTGGGGAGAACTTGCTGACATGAAATGGACAGGGGCGCAGGAAGGAGTAGGATTGGAGGGCCTGTAGTAGGACAGAAGCCATTAAGTTAAAGCTCTCGGGTCAAGTTGAAGTTTCATTTGCCTGCAAATTTAGCTCCAGCCAACAGAAAAAAAACTTTTGAATTTCACCTAAACATTGATTGGAAAATGTGACATTTTGCAATAACTGAAGAGTTCATGGCTGAAATCAGTGAGGTGAAATGAATAGCAAGACATTCAGCTCAGTTTTTCAATAGAACAAATATGAAGGAATAAGAGATTGCTTCTGCAGTTTGATGGACAGCTAGCAGATATCAGATCAGAGCATGATTACAGTCTCCAGCAGTTAATGAGATTTTAATCTCTTTCTTGTTCTTTTTTAGCACTGCCAATGTAGGAAGGCCATCTTTATATTGGATGGCAGATTTTCACCTGCTTGTAGAGAGCTGTGTTCAGATTTACTTTGGATTTGCACAATGGTCTTAATTATTTGCAGAATAGGAGACATTTTTGCTTAGTTCCATAAATTGTATTTTAATCTTTTAGTATCTTTACTCATGAGCCACGATTTATACCTCAGGCTATTTCAATTACTGCATGTAAAAAAGTGATCCAGTTTTAATTGTTTTTAGGACTATAGATCACAGTAAACTTGGCAAAAGAAACAGATTGCTCTTTTGTTTATGTTTCTTTTTATTATTATGTTTCTAGAGTACAATTAAACTGTTAGCAGTGGTTACTATCTGGAATAGGGACTTGGCTGTCACAGGTGAGGCCATTCCTGTGATATCTGGCATATTTGCCTTAAAAATCCTAGAAAATAGTCATGCAGAATCCTACAGTAGGTCTCTTCAGAAGGCTCTATGGCCACCTTTTTAAATGGTTTGGAAGTTTCCAGAGGTGGTTCTCGAAACAGGTCTGTTTACTTTTTTTCCATTACACCCAATAACATAATTAAAAAAAGCATTTTGCATTGTGCTGGGGGCCTACACAGACTACATCCTGGACAGATTTGATATGATATTGCTTTTCACAGCTAGAATCCCTAGTGCCAGTGAGGGTGAAGGTGGAGGCTTTAGGTGCTGCTACTGATGTCGTTAAAGCCTTATTGCAGGGCAGCTCCATTATAGCTGTGTGATCATATTTTAGGAGACCATAGAAACAAATAGAAACATGGAGGAGAGAGATTGGGTCTGCTAACCTGACTTCAGTATTGACTTCTGTAGCACGGTTTTTGATCTCCTGTTTTCCTAAACATTTTGAACTGGTATCAATGCCTGCATATTATTGAGGCAACTACTGTATACAGTAATGCTGTTATGTAATGTGACCCATTCAATTTGTGGTCTTGTTTGACAAGACGCACTGTATCAGGAGCCATGTACTCTAGCAGGCTGTGTTGAAGCTCAAGGGGAAAGTGTTAACAACTAATAGCTTTGTTTCCTGCTTCAGGCTCATTTTATTTTTTCATTAACTGTTACTGTGTTGGTTGCTGCTTCATTTCCCCCTGAGAGGGAACGTCTGTGTGGAGCAGATGTCAGGCTTTCATTAGCATTGTGTTTTTTACAAAATAAGAAAGAGACCACGTAAGACGAGTGTGACCACAAGTGTCTTGTTGAACGTTACTCCAAGAAAGACAAACACGCGAGCACCTGTTTTTCAGTGCCACGAATGAACAGTGCTGAGTCTGAGTGAAAATTTAGGGTAAAGGGAGGTTTAAGTGAAGATTGTACATGTGAGGGGCATTAAAGACCCAAAACAGTGTCTGCTTTTCTATTTCAGCTTTCAACTGCAGGTCTTCTTTCACACCTGTAACCTGGGCTACAAAAGTAATGCGCAGAATGATAGGCTGTGGTTTAATCTGTCCTCCAGGTTGATAGATCAAAGTCCTGGTTCAGGGGCAGTTTAATAGTGGAAGATTGTTTAGCAGTTCTGGGAAACCAAGATGTTTTTTTTACTCTTGATTGGCCCAGTTCCTGTTTTTGTTATTGTGAACACTTAGGGAGAAAAATGACACAATGCTTATGAGATGCTATGTAAAATTGTCAACTTAAAAAGCAACAATTTATTTTTCCCAAAACAGTCTCGCATATACTATATGTTTGTCTTTTCCATGCAGTTAATACAGATGAAAATAAATGATTACCAGTCCAGAAGGGAACAATATTGTGGAAATGTGAGAATTAAAAGGGGGAAATTTTTCAAGTACTTTTGTAAGGGCTACTGTATACACATAACATTCACGAAAATACATTTTCCCTCTTTTTTTCCCCCTTCTTAAGGAGAAAAGTGGCACTTATACCATTTTAGAAACAGTTAAAAATCCTGTTTAAATTTTAACTACTATTTTATAATAAATGGATATTCAATAAATGTAGAAGTGGTATTTTCTTAAATTAATATAGTTTAATAAAGCAGATGAGAAAGCTGTCTGCTCCTAGTGATTTTTATACTTACTGATTAAGGGAAGTACACTCCTGCAGAAGGAGGGTGCGCTTTATGTGGTATTGTTTTCATCAGAAAATCAGAGCATCTGCAGGTATATTACTATTCTCACATTGCAGTAATAGCCCTTGATATTTACTTTTTAAGAGAGCAGTGTAATTAGTGTAATTAGTATTTGAATATATCCCTTTATGGGCTAGGGCATTGGCAATGTGCACTTTGAGAAAGGAAATGCTGTGTCCTGTAGCAACACTGTAGAAACTACTGCAAGCTACTCTCAAATGTCTCAAATTAAAATGAATCAAATAATGGATATAATAAAATAATGATAAAATCAGGATAACTTTTATTTATTTTTCTTGCAGAAACATCATAATGTCGTATGATGTTTATTCATTTCTAAGCATGTTTTGTAGATAGTGTGAGCTCTGGTATGATATTGTTTCTCTGTGTCTTCCAGGTGCTCAGAAGTTTGATATTCTCCATGGACCTGGAACAGATTATTCAGGAAACCCTGGACCTCTTCTGCAGCTCCTCTGAACAGACCTACCAGGAGTTTCTGGGCTCCTTCACCCACCTGTCACCAGGTCAGCAACAGGGCGTTATGCTTTTGAAAGGAAACGTGACTTTTACCCCTATTATCTTGTAGCAAAGCATCATTAAGATGTGGATGTTATCAAAACATAAATAGCTCATCAACTTTGAACATGAAAGTATTATGAAGAGGTTAGATTGGATAGCTGTGTCAGTTTGTGAAAAGAACAAGTAGTAATTCCATCCCTAGAAGTGGAAAGAAACAATAAAACACACAACATTTTAGATGTTTGGATTCACACATCTGAATAGCTAGCTCTGCAGGAAATTATTTTAATTTTTAGTTTACAATGTTGGGAAAGCATTGAATGAAACAGTTTTGAGTGCATTTTTAAGCGCTGGATTCTAATATAACTCTGAGTTCTGTTTTCTAAGTCTGTTACTTGAAATCACTGCAGAGAAGAAAATGAAACTGTGTGCTCCAGATTCTCACACCCATCATCCTTTTCTGCTGTATTAGAGTCTGATTCTACTGGAGGAATTTTTGGTTCTCAGGAAACAGAAGAGTATGTCAGAGTAAAAGTGGAGCAGGCTGAACAATGGGGTTTTAGCATCTCACTCTACTATAGTAATTTGTCCCACATGCACAGGAAGCAATGAGCTGACTTCAGTATCTGATGAGGTGCATCAAGCAGCCCATGTTAGCTCAGAAGACGAGGATGAGAAGGCAACACCTGACGTGAGAACAAGAACACCCCCTTGCCACGCAGAGCGCCTTGAAGATAAAGAGGAGGTTATTCACTGTTTATAGATTTCCTTTAAATGTCTTTAAGCCTGCTTGTGTAAATCTAAAGGCCTAAATGTGGAGGGGTGCTCAACTTACAGGCTTTTTTTCTGTTCTCTTATTAACCACACACACTGCAACGTACTGACTTCCTCACCTGTTACCTGTAAAGATATGATTTGCCCTAGGTACATTTCTGCCATTCATTGTTTGACACCATTTGTTTTTACAGTCAATTGGTGGAATTCGAAATGTGTCAACATCATAAAAGACATTTTGTAGTTTTCTTATCAATTGTGATTCCAGATACCAGAATGTACCTTTTTTAAGTAGAACAGTAAATGATCAAGCCAGGAAAAGCTAAATTTTTCATGTATAAAAAATCAAATGAGGAAAAAGGATTGGAAAAATATACATGATATCTGTCATGACAAGACAAACATGTATCAGTTTCATCAAGTAATAATGAAAGTAAAAGCCTTTTTGAATATACTAGGGTATTTGAATTCATAATTGCATCATCTGTCTTTATTCCCTCAAGGCTTTATGCAATAAATGTTGTCCTCAATCTTAAATGACCACATAACTAGAGACATTGAGACTCACGACCTACTGTAAAGCATGTTTTCCAATCTGTTACATTATTGCCCTCTCAATCTTATCATTTGAAAACATTGTGCTCTATTTGGTGAATGTGATTCTTGCAATGTTTTTTCCTATGCTTATTTATATATGCATTCTTAAAAGCTTTTCAGTTTTTTGTCATTATTACAATTTATAACTGAGTTTCCTTAGAATGATTTTTTTGTACTTTTCCATAAACAAGCACAGGATGAGATTGAGAACAAAAAGAAAGTTCAGCTGTTTGCTGTACAGCAAGTCTTGTGGTTTGTTCAAAAAAGATGTGCATGGAAAGGCCCATGCTTTTTACCTGAAGTAAGAATTATAATTAATAACAACAGGCAACCTAAGATGCCCTTTCTCTGATTCACTCTACGGTGCAGAGTAATTAAGCACTATAACACTGATTTTAATGTTTTTATTTCTAAATGCTTGGCCCATTTCAAAATTCAAATATACAGAAGGAATAGATGTTATTGGAGAGCAAAGAAGAAAAGGCTTACAGTAGGAACCTACAGCAGACATGTTATGACATTGTTCAGAGATTGCTGTCCTATAGTTCCAAGGCTTCTAAGAATAGATTTCCGCTCATTTAGAAATCAGCATGCTTTTCTCAACATCTGTGTGAAACCCAAAGCCAAAAGCAAAAGTGAAAAAATGAAAGAAATATATTCCTCCTCAGACTGAGATCTTAAGAAACACCTTTATTGTGAACAATTCAGCATACATACAGTAGGTGTCTGGTTCACTGGCTTTCATTTGCATTTACATTAGATTCACATCATTTACAAGATTTGGATTTACATTATAAAGACTTATGACTGAATCACTACATGTAAATACATGTTACAGTCTTTACAAAACCATCTGAACTAAGGGAGAGGATATGCATATTTGATTTTAATTTGCATCCCCTCCATAAGAGCTAAAGGCACATTGTGGTGTCCTCCTTCAAAGACACAGATCCAAGTTCCCCTTTTTAAGGAAGTGGGTTTTGCTTAAATTTGTATATGGAATAATGAATTTTTCATCAAGATCTTTTTATAAGGTGAGGAACTTCTCGTTAATTTCTCTTTAAGAGGTTTTCATCTTCATATTTAGTCTTATCTAGACAAGATAAAATGGTTAGATGAATAAGCTTACAGGTAATTGGAGGCCACTCAGCCCAGCTTGTTAATTTACTTGACAGCACCTAATTAACCATTTTTTTTTCATGAAGGATCCCAGGGAATCAAGTTTAGAAACAAAGAATGAGTTGTGTGTCCCAGGCACGTACTGTATGAACCATTCTGTAAAGGAGAGCCCTTCACACACTTTATCCTTTGATTTTCATGGTAATGCTCTGATCTGCCACTGGGAAGAAGCACAGTGAGGCTGAATGACCAAATCAGGGGTTGGTGTTTCTCCAGAGCAGAGCTGCAGCCCTTGGGAAGAGCACTGTGTGCAGGAAGGCTGCATTAATGCAGTGCTCTGTCTGCTCATCTCTCAAGAAATGTCACAAACTAAGAAAAATACATTCGTCCTGGGAATCAGATTAAGTTCTTGGAATGTATATTTTTGACATAAAACATTTTTATCCATTAGCGCTCATGACTCAAAGCAGTTTCAGAGAGACTATAAGTGCCTGCTCAGTGCATTTGTAAAACATGGTGTAATCACAGCAGAGACACTGGGGAAATAATTAGAAAGCCTCCTCATACTTTTGTAGAGATTCTTGTGAACAGACTTAAGCAGAAGATGTCTTTGGTGAGCAGTTGAATTTTGACAATGGAGTATGTCATCAATGAGTTTTTGTTTTAATTGAGAAACCTGTGAAACATGCCTAATGGTTTGATATGAAAACTGGACGTCCTGCAGGAGACCTTTTGTATTTTACTGTCCTGTACGTGACAGAGCTGGTTGTTCCTTTCCAGATTGAGTTGGGAGTTAGTTTTTCATTTTATACCCAATTTGGATTTTCTGCTTTTCTGCTTTTTGAAGGTATTTTTGGACCTTATCATGAAGAAAGACAGAATATGGATAACATATAGATGTATAGATGAATAGACAGGTAGATAGTATGGACTGTATATAGTCAGATTAGATTAAAAGACTGTTTTATATTGTGGTGTAAAGGGTTAATGCATTGTGATACAGTATACTGCATTATCTTAACATACAACTGTTTTGTGGTACCTGCTGTACTGTACAGTATATGTTTTAAAATATCAATATTTTTGCCTATAGTTTGTGCTGGATGCAGGCGTTAGGATGGGAAGTGTACACAGTGGAGAGCTGAGCCTGGCTGGAAAGCTAAAGGTGAGAATTGTGCAGAACTCTGCAGTAGGTACTCATGGAAATTCTCTTCCCTCTATCTGTACCTTTAAGAAGGAAACTGGCATAGGTAGCTTTTAGTACAGTAATCCTGCTCTCACGTTACGCTGCTTTATTCAGAGCAATGATGTGTTAATTTGACATAACATTTCTTGTTGACTGCTTTCTTGTTTGGGGATTTTTGAGTCTTCTCTCCCGCATATTTTCTTCCAACCTGTGTTATTCACACCTCTCAAATGTATTATATTTCACATACATTGCCAGGGCAGTAACATTGGCAGTTTGGCCAGGGTGATGGATGATATAAAGCAAAATGACTGTATTCTCAGTTGAAATGATTTAATTTTGTTATTCTGTTCTTTGGATGAAGCATTAAATAGTGTAAGAATTGTGGACTTTACTTGAGGTTTCACAGTGGTTTAGCAACATTCAGTTGTTAGACTCCCCAATCATTCCAATACAGTTCTTTTTCTGACAGCCTTAGTCAGTGATAATTTACTAATCATGCAGTTAATGTGTTAAGAGCTGTCACAAAGTAGAAACAAAGTAAATGCTGTATTATACAGTATATATAGTACCTTATTTCTGAGGCACAACTGTGACAAATTCACCAAGTTATGATCAGGAAAAAGATAACCTTTTCTGTAGCAGACACACTTGGATTTTCTGGAACAGATATGGTTTAGATAAACTCATTATGCAGATAAACATTTGTCATCAGCAGGGTTTATCAACAGGGAGTCTACAGTGAAGATTACAGGCTACTAGTATGTGTAGTCATTGTTGGAAGCAATACAAGCTGTACATCTGTAACACACAGTTTACACCAGGTTACAGATGCTATCTTGTGGGAATCCGTTTCATCCCTCTTAATGAGTCTGTGCAGGTATGTGCCTGTTCACTGGTCTCTGAGCCCTAGATATGTTGTCTGAGCTCATCGCAAAAATGGTGGCTCAAGTCTGGAAAATCTGGAAACTATTCTACCTACAGCACACCCTTCACAGTTTCAGATTCCAAGAAAGCTGCTGCTGCATGAGCAGCATGAGGAGTTCTGCTGGTGTTTTGTCACATTGGGATGAGCCCACAGAAAAGGCAGGTAGTGAGGTCCCAGGACTTGATCTGTGTAACACCATGTAGTCAGATTGCTGTCACACTGGAACCACCCTCGCCATCCATGGGTCTTTTTTCAGGGGCGGAGTGGTGGCTCTGTGGCTAAGGATCTGGCTGGGAGGTTGCCTGTTCAAATCCCGCGGCCGGCAGAGGAATCCTACTCCTTTGGGCCCCTGAACAAGGCCCTTCACCCCATCTGCTCCAGGGGCACCATATAAATGGCTGACCCTGCGCTCTGACCCCTAGCCTCTCTGTGTGTGTGTGCCTGTGTGTCTCATGGAGCGCAAGCTGGGGTATGCGAAAAGACAAAGCCCTAATGCAAGAAATAATATATGGCTAATAAATTGATCTTGATCTTGTACACCACAATTAAAATATCGTTCTGCTCATCTGCGTCATGCTCACTGACATTCACCAGGGAGGTCTGCACAAAACGTAAATTCACTGCAAAAGAGATCCTGTCTCTTTTGTTAGTAAATCCATGTGAGATATTGCTCCAATATGCCGATGGTGTGAAGGCACTTCTTGCCTGATAGGCAGAGCATATTGGTTCTTTTCTGTGTTTTTCTTAATTGGTTTTTACCAGGGTTTTACATTTAACAGATTAATGGATCTCATCACCTGTACTTTCTCTCTAATGAGGTAATTTAGTTCTTATGCAAAAGTCATAATCTCCCCAGGTGTATATGGTCTGTCATGAATGATCAGTGAATCAGAATGACTTGAAAAAACATTTAGTCAGTTTCCAGAATCCTTAAACTTTATCTAGAAGCATACATGCATAGTGGTGTGTCTTTTAATGCTCCATCTATAACAATTGAATGATTACTGTGTGTAAAAGAATGATATAAATATGTCTTATATAAACTATTTTATTTAAAAAAACTCATCATTCATTTTGAAAAGTGAAACGTGCAAATACCCACACTGGTCTGGTAGTGATAGGAGACGCATTTATAGTTGACATTTTTCTTCACAGCTGGATAACTACCTGGAATCTGTGCATCTTAGCAGTGATGAAGAAAGTGACCTGACAATAGGAACAGGTACACTAGTTTATACATTGTATTCCCGTTTTCCACAGGTCGTATATTACATAATGTACTGTCTGAAATTACAAAATTATTCCATTCTCTTTTACTAAGAGTTAATTTTGTAGAAGAATGGAACATGGAAATGTTTGTTTAAACACTTAGCCCTTAGTAGTTGTGCGTACAACAGATGGCTGGTAAAGTTTTTAGCTGTAATGGGTAACAAACATGGTCTTTAACACCATTTAAAATAAGATAAGCCGAAATTGGGGGTGTGTACAGTGTCTCTGAGCAAGTCTTCATTGTGATGTTCTGGTAGTGCATATACATTATACAAGTTTTGCTGCAGCTGAGATCAGTTTCCTTGCTTTTAAACAGAGCTAGCATTAAAGAAACAGGCATGTTTTAGAAAGTAGTAAGCTTTGAGCATGAGCTTTAAGGAGAACTATCCTACTATCTAGGGGCTCTTGAAATTTTTGTCACACACAGTGATGGATATTTATTTGAGCTCCATGCATTTTCAGTAACCACTTCATCTCTAGAGAGGAGCGAGGCGTCAGAGCCTCCTGTATCTTGGCAGGTACAGGGCAGCAGGCAGAGCTAGAGTTGGGACAGGACATCAGGCCATCGCAGGGCACACACAATGTAGAGACTGCAGCCTGAATGTCTCGTCCTGAGGAAGACATGCAGAGGACATGCCAAACCCCATTAAAGACCACCCCTAAATCTGAAGTCGAACCCTGAACCTGAAAACCTCAGACTAGCATGCTACACACGGTGAATATTAAAGTGACAAAATATTTATTTTGTAATTGAAACAAAAACTTGTATTTATACTGTAGTAGTATAAAATGATTTAAGGACTCCAGATAGTATAGGTTTAACTGAAAGGGCTACTGCTAATTCAAGAGAGGAGGTCATGTTTTGAGGTCTGGTCTATGTCATTACTCAGAATTTTCCAACACTTTCACTGTCATTCAAATAAGCTGACAAATGGAAATTGCTACACTTATTCACCCTCATTAGCATAGACAATTATGAATTTGCTGCATTGCACTTCAGTATTAAACCTATACACTGTAGAGCTAGTCATTCTCTAAAAATCTTGTTTGAGTAGATGAATAACTATTTCTCTATAAAATCAAGCTTAAAAAGTTGACTTATATCTTCTGACAAGTGAATGTATTATTTTAAGAAATTGTATTTTTTAATAATTAACACATGGAAGATATCAATGAGTTCCTGTCGTCTGTTCATGTCTGCTTTGAGTATGTTAAATGTTTAAAGGTGAAATATCTCCTGTGATTTCCACATACATATTACCTAATTACAGTAGCTTGTCATGAAAGGATGTACATTATTCAGGGGAAGTCTTATACTGTAGGTTTAATAGTGACCTTGTCATAATTTGATTATAGTGCCTTGCAAAATTATTCAGAGCCTTTATATGGTGTTCTTTTTTGTTAAATTACAAAATGATGCATACACATTTTTTAACATTTAATTTGCTCAAACTGAAGACTTTAAAGGGTAAGATAACTTGCAGTAAATGTAACTAAAAAAAATGAAAAGAAAATACTGAAATATGCTGATTGCATAAGTATTTAGACCTGTGAGCTCAATATTTGGTGAAAGCACCTTTACCACTGAAAGTCTCCGAGGTGAGTTTCTACCAGCTCTGCACACAGGCTTGGAGTGATTGCTGTCCGTTGGCGGATTTGCTCAAACTCTCTCAAGCTGCTTGGGGATCAGTTGTGGGCAACGGTTTTCAAGTATTTCCACACTCAATGGACTTCAAGTCGGGACTGTGACCAGGTCACTCAAGGACTTACACTGATCAGTTCTTAACCCACTCCAGTGTAGCTTTGGCCTTGTACTTTGGTGATGCATGTGACAATTCAAACAAACAAGAGGAAGAGAGGATCACATGAAAACATATAGGGACCTTTGTCTGTCCTTAAGGATGTTAGCATTGGCAGGCTCCCAAATGATAAGAAAAAGTGTAACCGTGTTTAAACATATTTCATGTAGGCAGAATCTCACTCAACTTCCTTACAGTGATATGCAAAAGAAAGTACACCCCGTTACGATTCTCTGGTTTTACATATCTGACCATCTGACCTTCATCTGGTCCTCCCCAAATCCTAACAGTAGATAGAGCTAACCTCAAGTGATAGATAACACACACACATTTTACTTTGTCATTATTAAACAAAACAATCAGCCAACATTCAGTAGCGTTGTGTGAAAAACAAGGTGCACCCTTACTTCTCCAGGAAGGCAATTAAAATCAGGTGCTACTAAACAAATGAACATTATTAGTGATTATCAAGAAGTGTGCATCCATCTGTCTATTGGAGAGTATAGGACTGTATATATAGGACTTGGTGAGCACTAGGTGAAGGTCAGATATGTGTTAAACCATAGAATCTTAAGAGGGTGCGCTTTCATCTGATAGATGAAACATCTTATCACTTAATACAGCTGGTCTGGAGTACATTCTCTTACATGTACGTCTGCCCTCTTTGGTCAGTTTTCCCTTCACCTTCAGTTTATTGGTACAAAAATCTTATTTTTGTCTTTGTTGTGTCCAAACCCTCTGTGCTGCATTCACTTTCTCAGCTCAAATTTCACCCACCTCAACTTTCCCCCTTCCTTCTTCTGCAGTAGCATCTCTAAGGCTATCCCCACTCAGTACACTAATCATGCCACATCCACAATTTGTTAATGCCTCGGACACTTGTTGGTTAGTTTTAATTCCTCACCCAGAGCACACTGCTGTCTTCTTATCTCCCAGCATTATTAATGGCATCATTCTAGTGTTCGCCACAAAATGTCTCCTCAAACAACTTGTGCTGGGGCATAAAACAATTCTACAAATTCTGCCAAAGAACTTTACAGCGATGGTTGTGTTCTTGTGATATGTTGCTGCCAAAAAATCCTTTGGCTTAATACCTACAGTACCTATCGCTTTCTTGGCATCTGATGTTTTAAGAAAATGTTTAAGTGTGGTACGTCTCCAGGAGCTCCGTGTTTTGTTGTGTTTTTGCTCCTCTGCCACACCACAGCCTGGGGAGTCATGGGAGTCACTTGGGATGGAGAGCTGCTTGTTCACATCATAGCTGCAGTCTTTCCATGCTGTTGCCAGGGATTCTATGTTCAATTTCCATTGCAGAATGTGATGCATTTGTGGGGGATGTGTGGGTCTGTATTCCTGTTGGAGCCCTGTCTAGTGCTGCAGCATGGGGCAAGCTGCCTTCCCAGTTCAACCACACTATCATCACCTGGGAGGCATCAGAATTGTCTATTTCCCTGCTGGTAATTAATGGCTTCCACTGAGAAACTAATTAGTTGCTTTAATTAGGATTATCATCCTTTTTACTGCCAAGGCTGACTACAGGGCTATGAAAGGCTGTAAGGGAGAACTGTCAATATTTAATGGCTTTTACATTTTAAGTCCTTTTCTCATGTCAGAATAAGAAATCACTTCTTGACAGTCGTTTTGAACAAACACTTTTTTTTCTGATTAACTTCACAGATGCTTTACTGCGTTATCAAAAGGTCCACGTTCACATTTTTTGGATTATATTTCATTACAGCCCCAATGAAGGGGATTATTGCTGGTTGATTAGTTTCAATGGAGATTAAGCCTTATCTCCCTGGTGACACATCAAACGGGAATTTCATCTGTTTCTTCCTTGGCATTCGACGTCCTCTGTTATTTATTTAGTTTTTTTTCTTTTTTTCATTTATGTGATTTGCTAACTCTATGCATGAGATGCAGCTCATTCTATTTACTGTACAGTGCATGGATTTGAAAGGTTAGCTACCTCCACAGATAAAGGTTATAGAGTCAAGGCTGTCTACGTAGAATCAGCATGGCAGTGATTGTACAGGATTTTTGATACATAAGGTGGTAGATCAGGTAATGTCATTGGTATTACAGTAGCCTATTATGTGATGTGGGGGAGCTTTTTCTCTCAGCAGGGAATGTATGATTATTCTGGTTGTCTAAAGAGATGAATGCAGAGCAGGTTTATGATAAAACTGGCTTGCTGCTCCTGGGGTTGTACAGGCCTTTGTTAATAATGGAAGGTCCTGTGATGAAAGGGTCTGGAAATGTGAGCAATGTAAGCAATTTGGATCATGCTTAATGTACTTAAAACATAATGATAATTAGTGTCTGAAACTGTATCTTAAGGATGCCTTTGTGGTTATTTTAAATTGATTTAAAATTCTCAGAAGCATACTGTATGTGTGTACAAAGTGTATGCATATACTGTATACATACATGCATGCATACGTACAGATTAGTGATAGTGTCTCTATTGGTAGAGCACTGTTTAGTAAGTGCAAAGGTTCATGGTTAGATCTGTGCCAACACCCAAAATCACTAGTGGTAGAATTGATCATGTGGCTGTTTCTGTTTGTTGTTTGGTTGAGAATGAATATAGTTATTTTTCCTCTCAGAAGTATACACATGATAAATTAAAGGGGTTTCTCTTATCTATGATATAGTCATTCAGTCTGGGGACAACTTAAAATATAAGAGCATTGGGGCTCTTGAGCAGATTATATCGGTGCTTGGTACAGCTCGGGTTGTGTCGAATAGCCTGGGCATTATCAGTCCAAGATTGTCTCATGTAACTAGCCAGCTGGGATCAGGGCATTCTACGCATTGGCTCACAATTGTCCCAGCAAACATTTGCAGTGGGATGGACTAACCTGACTGGGATCTTTGTGGCTTCTGGAGAAGCACCAGCTCCTGTGACTTCAGGCTGTTGCAAGTTAGCAGTGATGACAGTGAGAGGATGTTACTCCTTCAGGGGGCACTAACTCTGTGCAGTGCTTGCAGTGTCTCGGAGCATTAGTCGGTTGGTTCTCATTCTTCCTGTGTGATGCAGGAAGGTTTTATTTTTTTCTGGAAAATCTGATTTTTAAGGAACTTGTTATACCAAACTGGTTTCAGCAAATACAAAAAAACAGCAACTGTACTGTATGAAACTAAATATAGTTGCCTTGCTAGAGTAGCACATTTTGTGTAAGTTATTTTTACATTTTTACATTTTGTGTGGCTGCAAGGCAGTAGCTGACAGCTAGTTTATGAACATTTTTAGCAGGACATCTCAGTGTCTTACCAATGACAATAATAATTCTTTGCATTTATGTAGGACATTTTAAATTCTAAATGATCCCAAGTATTTTATATGCAGTATAAGCGGGGACACTATTGAGGTGTAGCACCTGGGTGACACACAGCTGCCGTTGCAGCAGGTCCTTCTGGAGGCTGCAGTTCTTTTGGGTTCACAGGGCAGCTGAGGAAATAGGGTTGACAACAAAGGGGTGACTGCAGAAAATTTCCTGGTAAGTCCACTGGGTGCAAAATTTGTTTTTAATAAGGACATGAAAAGGGTTACAGGTGAAAGGGGGTCAGTTGACCCATCATGCTCAGTTTATTGCCCCAGAGATCTCATCCAGATTTTCCCTGAAGGATCCTCATGCAGTCTGCTCCAGTAATGCATCAGGTCAGTTTGCTCAACTCTGCTTTCTGTCGTGGCCCCAGCTCAGGGAACACTTCCTGGAGAAGCAGAGGAAGAGGTGCCATCTTATGTACCATCGTTTCTACGCCACACCCAGCTGAAGTGCAGGACAGGGAAACAGCAGCTCCAGGGCTCAAGCTCCAAGTGTGAGGTAGGGGTGCTTCCAGGAGGGTAACGGGTTCACAAAATACCCTCCATCCCGTTTTACCACTTTACAGATTCTCATGTCAATGCTTGTGTTTTCATCTCTGGCATTAAATCAGGTATAACCTTTGTCCTGAATTGGAAGTTAAATGATGTTTGGAAACACAGCCTTGAGATTAATAACTTTATGGTTTAGGAAATGAACCCAACTTCTCCCAAATTCTACATTTCTTTTCAGTTTCATAGTCATTAGCTAGCCTTGACCTTTATATAGAAATAATACATAATTAATATTGAGTCTCAGCAGCTGCGATTTAGTTTTTAACATTGTAAGGTGTGAAAATGAAATATGAAAACCCATAATATCTAACATTACATATAGTTGTATTTTCCACTGTCATTCATGTGATGTTTAGTTATTTATATATACAGTATATAATTTTGGTGTGTGTATGTCTTATCAGCTTAAGCTATTTGACAGTATTAGGCTGTGTTTTCCAAAAAACACACTTCAATGTAGAGTGGGAAAGGAAAACAAGCTGGTCTTTCATCATGGTTTGCATTTCATGGCTTAGCTGTGACTAAAGGGTATATAACTGAGCAAATAACCAGTTTTGAGCATGTTTCCTTCCTGAGAGTTTCATATTTTTCTTACAAATATACCTATTTTCCATGTGCTCCATCTGATACAGTGTGTAAATTCACATGCCTGCAATGCAAATTATAACCTATTATGTCACAAACCCAGAATCTTAATCTTCTCCTTACAAAGGAATTGCAGATTCAAAAGGTCAAACAAACCACATCGAAAAACAGAACAGAAAATACTGAAATGTCTGTGTTTGCAGTTGACGTTTGTGCTGATATACTTTTTTTAAATGCTGCATTATATACACACATAAAAATTCCTTGAAATAATGTTTTTGACTGCAAAGGATCCCAAAGTACTTTATCAGTGAGAGTGGACTGATCTGAACTCCCAGTGAGGGAGGGGTCCCCAGCAGATATTTGTTACTCTCAAAAGATGAGATGGAGAAAAGAGGAATTAAACATAAGGATAATTCTGACAGGCTAGAATAATATAAAAAAAGTATAGGAATTCAATCACGTAACTGAGGATAGTGTCTGTGCTCTTTCAGAGGGTGTCATGAGGTCTTTAATTAGACTGTGTGTATGTTGGACACAGCACCTATTGTTACCATATGAATTCCACACTGAGATATCGATTGCTATTTTGTAGGTTAGAAGAAAGAGCGCCACACACTGATCCACAAACACTACTTCGATCAGAAGCTTTTCCTGTTTTCATTTTACTTTCCTTAAATGATCATTTTAGGAAAGTTTGTCAGCTTCAGCCAGTGGAGTTTAGTGTTAGGCACTGTTAGACTGGTGCCTCCAGTGTGGTGGGGATTCTCCACCATCCAGCCTTACCAGACGTCTTCCAAGAGGAACTGTTTGGTATGTATGGGTCATTAGAATGAGCCAGATCAGAACTTAAATTTAAGAAAGTGCAGGGAATCCTAAAAAAATACATAATAGAAAAAAAAACTGAAAGAAATGTTCTGGTCAGATATTGACTCCTTTCATATTTAATTCTGAGCAGCCCTGAATATAGGAGAACTGATCGGTTTCCCAGAGAATACTTCTGATCGCTGGTAGAAATCTGTTGCAGATGTTCATTGAGATTTGTCTACTCTATTTTGCGCTTTGTGTTTTTGTCACAGCTTTATTGTGTATAGCATTGCACTTGTACCTTTCCTTAAAACTGATTATATTCTGTTACAGTTTGCTACAGGAAACTTTACCAGACCTTTTGAACAACTGTAATCTGTATCATTGTTATTATTAATACTGCATTTTGTGAATTTGAAAGGAATTCTATACTTTTAAAACTTGTCTCTCTTTCTCAGGTGGTGACAGAGGTGGTCCCTTTCTCTTTAGATGAGAACTTTGACTACGATTATGTTGTGCTTTCACACAAATTCCTCCAACCTGAGGCACCAGCCCACGGTCCAAGATGATGCAGGTTGTAGTGGCAGCTGTACTGGGCAAGGAACAAGCTGTAATGACATTGGGGGAGACGATTGCTTTACACTACAAGAATCCAGGAGTCAGCAGGCATCAAGCAGCTAACATCCAAGAGCCTTGCTTTGAGACACTTCCTGAAGAGACACCAAAGGCTCAGGATCCTTAAGCCTGACCCAGTTACCTAGTACCAGTTTTAACTCAGGGCTTTTCTTTGGATCTCCTTCATTACAAGGAAATGTGCTGCTTGGCCAGTGGGGGCGAACACAAGTCTGGAGCTTTATTGGCAGTTGGAGTTCAAACAGACGAGCACATTCTAAAATTCTCATATTTGCTAATTTCCAATTGTTTTTTAAGCCATTGTATGCCAAGAAAACATAATTGTAATACATTTTTCACTCTATTCCAGCACATCTGGTGTTTTGATCTGTTGTTTTTTATATGAATCTATATTTGCAAGTAATTGAAAAGCTTTAAAAGTAGATATATGAATTCAGGAGCCTCACAGTACTGTGATAATCCAGGATGAAAAAATTCCCTGACACGTGGTAGTACCGCCATCAGAGAACACACCATGAATAACATTGCCACAATCTAATGGCTTGTACATAAATACAGAAAGACGGCTTGCAAGCTCAGTCTTCCTGCAGTGCTTTTATGATGCTTTGGCAGTGGATATTTAGTTAACTGCGTTAATTGTTAATGTCAGTCAGGTCCTATAATAAGAAATCAAATTAATGACATATAAAAATATACAATGCTAGAGAACATGTCTTAGTTTAAATCACTATACACGTGTATTCCTTTCTATTTGAAATAATTGCTTTTAAAACCACTTCACATGGAATACATTCATTTTTGTATGCAGCGCTGTGTGCAAGCATGCCATAATTACCTACCCATTTCTGGGCCACCGTTATGCAAACAGCTCCGTTTCTTTCTTTCCATTTGTGTCAAAACATTATGAAAACACTAAAGAGATGTGGACAAGAAAAACACAGCAGGCATTTCCTGAGGTCTTTCTTTCACATATTTTCAACGCTATACCAAAAGCATCACACACTGCTCCACATTCCCTTTTTTCTTCTGCTTCTCTCCACTTTTTTACTGTCACTGAAACTATGTCTTATTAAGTCATTGAAATTGCAATAACTTAATTTAGTGACAAAATATTTTTTCCTTTATTTTTGTCTGCCATCTTCTAACATTTCTTGTGGAGATGAAGGACATGATATTAATTAAAGATTAGAAAAGAGTAAACAGATTATATCATGGTACTACAGAGTCTGTCCGGTTTTTGAATGAATCTGTGTTTCTACTAATGTAGGTTTGTGAAGGTGCAGTTGATTGCTGGAAAGACATTAATCAAGCTGGGTCTCTGAAAACGTGCAGTTTTCCTTCACACTGTTTTGTGCTATTTGTGTGATGATGTGGTCCTGGTTTCCTATTATCACACTGTGTGTTTGCCACATGCTTTTGTTTTTGTTTCAACATGTAAGACACTAGGCCAGCACAGTGGCACAGTGGTCAGTATTGTTAGAAGAACAATGTTCTCATAAAAGTAAATTTTATCAATTTTAAGTCATTTTTAATGTACTGAGAATAAATGTTTATCTTTCCACCTTAGATAATAAGAAACCCAAGATTGATTGCGATTTCTTGCATATTATCCATCTTATCATTTATTGTAGTGTTGTTTTGGATAGCTTGGGATGAAGAGTCTGTTGTCATAGTATGGTTTTGAAATCTAGAAAGTCAAGAGCAGAGGTCAACTTGAGTTGTGAACTGAACCCAAAACAAAGGAGCAAAGGGGGAAATTGCACACATCCAATTAAAAAGGAATATTGATAAAAATACAATTTATTTTTGTATATTGTGCAACTTTTTTTATCGTCAAAAGAAAACAGTTGCATAATGAGGATGTGTTAACAAAGGCTAGGATTTGGCTCATTTCATAGCAGGAATTTCAGGGAAAAGAACATTTTTGCCCCCTCTCCAGCTGGCAGTAAAAACTTTTGTATTCAGGGGAAAACAGGGATGTTTGGGATTAAAAATGTCAAAAGGCAGTTGATATCAGGCAGTGGAATAAACACACGAAACTCTGAAGTTTTGAACACTGGGTTGTTTGTGTCTAGAGTCAGTGGGGCAGGCCAGCCATTTATGGCTTGAACAACAACAGGTGGAATCCCCCGCTGCCTTCTGATCGTCTCTCAGATACTGCCTGCTGGCACCTCACCCCGCTGCCACGGTCCGACCGCAGCCCTTCAGTTAGCAGAGCCGCAGAGAGGTGGGGAGAGATAGGAAGGGCAATCCTGCTCGCAGGTGCTCTGTTGTGGGATAGAGACGGTTGCCACAGGTGACAATAAAGCACATCTGAAGTATATTGTTGCTTTGAGAATATACAATATGGCACACGTGTCTGCTGTATAAAAGAAATTCAAAGGCTGCAGCAGAAGATAATACCTTGACTGATTCGGATGATGATGCAGGGTCAAAATGCAAAGATCAAATCATCTTTATCTTTGAAGTACTGTCCCTGGAAGTCTGTGCTTTATAACTCTTATGCACCTAATGATTTAGTCAGACAGACAGAAAATAAATGTTTATAAATGTTATGCAATTTATGCAACATTCCAGCAAGCTTAATATTAAATGTACTGTATGAATTGGATGTGAAATCTTGAGTGTCCTACCTTTTGCTTTATGTTGTTTTATTGGTTAGTTTCTATGCACATGATTTATAATTAAAGGAATTCTTGAATGAATTTTATTTTATCCTATGCTCCTCCGTGTTCTAGTTCAGTTGTTCTCAGTACTACTCCTGGGGTACCCCTGTGTTTACTGATTTTTTGTTACAGTTGAGCCCTTAATCATTAGTGCTAATTGGTGTCTATAGGTCTGTGCTTGGTTTTGAGAATGCCCTAAAGTGCATTATTTCCAACAACTCAATTTGCTAATTAAGAATCTGTTCCCTTATTTCTGATTAAATAGGTCTTAATAGGTGATCAATTGCACAGACACTGTTGGAAATGACACTCTATCAAACACCTCCTACAGTGAACCTATGTTTTTCCTTCTTCTTGAGTCAACCTCCAATTGGTTAGATTTCAGCTCGCACACCTACGGTAAATGTGCTAGTAGACCAACGTGCGGTCCTGCAGGGTACATACCAATAACAGATCTGGTTCAGCATTTTAAGAGCAGGAAGCAAATGGAAAAAAGAAATGTCCAATTGAAATAGAAATAAGTTAGCCTGTGATTAAGAAGCACAATCCAGAAGAGGCATCTAATGCATTTAATGTACATTTTAATTCCTGCGAGTGGACTAATGATGTTTATCCAAATGCACAATGCACTTTATTCAGAACATAACACAATAAAAGAGAGTGGAACAGTCAGGCAGTACTTGTGTAGTGAAATAGGACATCAGCAGGGCAGAGCAATACCACCCCCTATGGACCGGGGAAGGGTATTTCCTTGGGCAGTAAAATAGGCAGAACAGTGCCACTTTAGTTTTAGTGCACTGAGCTCAACTCTTACACAGGACTTGCTGGAATTTTCCTTTACTAAGAAAATTAAGCTTTCACATTTTAGATAACGATATAGCACTGCTAAAATTTGAATTTTAAGGTCTGATTTTAATTAAACGTGTTCCACTAATGAATGGAAGAGTTCAAGAGCTGCATACAGCACTGTTCTCGGGACATTTTCCCCAGCTCCACTGATGGCACTGAACACACTTCTTTGATTTAGAGCACATATTCTATTTAAAAAAAATGAAGCAACTGTGAGATGTGCAGCGATTAGCGCTCTTCTGGTTTCTGTGCCTCATACTGCGTGCCAACACTATTAAGTACTGAAGTTCTCATCAGTGTTTTTAATTTTGAAGATTTGAACTTCTCTAAGTAGAGTAAGACTTTTCTTGGATGTGCTTTATGGTTTAGGCTCCCTTCTTGATTTTTTTCCACTTCGGACAGTACTGGAACCAGAGGTTTTAAAAGCAGGCTGATACAACACTATACCTGCAGATAGTAAATTGGCATGTTACATTTTAATGAATTCTGGCAGGATATGTTTGTCCTGTGTCATTAATATCTAGTGGCAAAATCTCTACAGCAAAGGGTGAAAACGTACCCACTTCTTAAAGTTAAATGTGATGGTGGGCTGGGGGATCTGACAAGAGGTTCAGATAAGCCATGGTTGTCAGGTCTGAAAAGTGCTTTGTCTGGTACTTCAGATGTTAAATAAGATGTTGCCAGCATGTATAATTTACTCTACTGATCTGATGGTCATACATTTAACCAAAACGGGAATATTGAAAGTAGACTGATGCTAAGTTCTGGCTCAGCTGGCTTGTTTAGTTGGCAGATGGGAGACGGCCAGCAGACAGCAACAGTAGATAGATCCAACCCTGTTCTGCCCTTTTGGCATGGACTTTGTGTTTTTATGTGTCTGTCTGGCCCAGGAATACAGCCCCAGTCATCTCTCTGGCCACATCTCTTTGATCACTCTAAGTTCCTATAGCAGCAATGTCAGGTCAGTGCTTGAACAGCCATAAATAATTCTCTGCACTTTAAAAAATGTTCTACCTAGGTCACTGTTAAGAGGCACTGAGTAGAAGGTTGTTCTTTGTTAATTGAAGATCCTGGCAATTCTAAATATCCAGATGTGCATTAAGAATAGAAGAACTGTACTATTATTGTATGCAGAAATACTGTATATTGTGTATATGAATGCAGGTTCCCTGTACCTGTTGCTTTTTTCCTTTTAACCAGCTAAAGATTTTGAAAGTTAAGAGACAATTTGACTGAATCATTTTTGCATTTTGGCTGTAAGAACTTTCACTGGTACAAAACTATCTCTTTAAATGTCTTTTATAATGTAATGTTATTTCTCTAGTTGTAGTGTCAGAAACAAGTGTTTGGATTGTTTTCACATTATAAAGTATGTATGGGGTTTAGGCTGATAAATATTATTCAGATACCTTTATGTGTGTCTTTTTATCCAGTCTGTTTACTAACAATTTTAAGATGTATTATTTAAAAAGATAACATTTTTCTAGCAGGAGACTAGAGTATTCTTAGATGTTTCCTTTTGAGAACCTGAGAAAAAAGAAATACAAGATAACAGCAAATAAAATGACAGTCTGTACACATAGACACAGGAGAATAAGCAGCAGCACTGGGTTGCTTCATCATGTTTTCTGTATTTCATTAGAGCACACTATTCCACTAATTTTGTTTAAATATTTTTGTCATTCAATTTGTGCCATTTTAGCTGTCATATAATTCAGTCTTTTTTAAGGACCAGTACATTATTAAAATGTACAAAATTTATATACAAGGCTGCAATATTCATATTTACATCCCAGCAAGCTGTGATATAGAAGTATATATCGTCCTAACTATATATACAGTATATACGTTGGCAACAATACTGAATTGATTGTAGGACATGTAATTAGAAGGATACAGTACTGAACTAGAAGACAACCAAAGAAAATTAACTTGCCATTTCTTACCAGCTCTTACTGTACAGTATGTACTGTGCCTACTGTATGCACATTTCCAAGGGCTTCTCGTTTCAGCCAGCAGGTGTCACTGCAGATTAAAAAGTGTGACCTGCCTGAGGCCCTGTTTCCTTGTTAAACTCCAGTAATAAATATCAGCGATGTGACTGCAGACAATCATCACCTGCATCCACATTATCGTTTTTAAACGGTGAACATGCCAGAAGCCACGTGACAGGTCACACAGGCATTTGGAGCGTACCTGAGAAGTAAATAAATGATGCCCGAACCGCAGACCTGAAGCCCAGGTGTACACAAAGTGGTTCATGAGACAGACAGCACTGATAAAACCTTGCACAGGCTGGGCAGAGGTTTCCAGCCTGGATTGGTCTGGATCACTCTATGTCTTATGGAGTATATGAAGTAGAAATTTGTTCTGTAAAACATGTGGTGCCATTGGTGTAATTTACCTTTGAAATAAATGGAATTAAAAACACCTCTGGCATGATGAAGTGTGATGTTTAGAACACTTTTGCTTCTGTGGTATACAGTTTGAGTGCCTATTTTGATCATGTTGGGTTTTGTTACCCAATAACCCCTGGGCTTGGTCTGCTACTCAGGAATTCTGTTACATTACTTTCGCCCTTAGAAGCCTTCAAAGAAGACAAGAGAATGACACCGTGCTAGGAGTAGCAAAGCTTTCTCTGTACATTTTGCAAATTTTCCTTCTCATTTTGGTAGATGTGACACACAAGATGGTCATAATTCTTAATGGAGAAAAGGGATCAATGCATCTAAGCACTGGAACATAGGAGATAATAATCTAGGAGGCCTAGATTTTCCTGTGAATGCCCTACTGCATTTCTCAATTGATATTACTGTTTGACATTTTGTTTACAGAACAAATGCTATCATGAAAGGAGAACTGTACATGGCCACTTACACCTAGTCTTGCGTAATGCACAAGGCCATAATACAGTGTTTGTCCATCCGCTAATTCAGGGTCCCAAGGGAGACAGAGCATCTCACGGCAAGCAATGGGAGCAAGGCAGGGCACAGCCTGGATGGGACACCAGTCCATCTCAGGACAGACAGAAACACCGGGACCAGCTTTACCAGAAGCCAGTTAACCTACAGTACTGGTATGTTTCTGGGCTGTGGGAGGAAACCAGAGCACCCCCTGGAAACCCATGTGAAAAACATAAAAACTCCATGCAGATAGCAGCCCAGTTCTGGGTTCGAAACCAGGGCTGCTAACCACCCCACCACCGTGTTTCCATATTGTGTTTGTATGTGTCTGAATTACTTTATAATTGGTGTTTTGTTGCAGTTGCATTATTTTTTTGGCAGGGTGGTCAGCTAGGGTAGGGCTGATGTGACCACATTGTCATAAGAAGCTGAGCATGTAATGAAGAGGAAAACCCAGAAGGCTGACCTTATCCACGCACAGCTGATACAGATTGGAAGGAAAGTGACATGAAAGCTTCAGGTGCTGCACTCAGACGGAGAGCTGTGCTTTTTGGCTCAACCATCCCAGCACATTTCCCAAAATTACATTACTAATTTCCCCTTGATTCCACAACCTTGGTAATTGAATATGCAGGCCTGATGTCCTTGGATATTGAATATCTTGGTGGAACAGAGCTGAAAGTATGAACCATTGTTTGTCCGGAAACTGGGTAGGCAGATGAAATACTACAGAGATTTTTTTTTTCTCCGTTTCAAAAGAACTCTCTGTGGTTCTTTAAAACAGCACAAATTATGTAAAAGCCACTTGGTGCTCCTGACTCGTGCATTAATTATGTACAGTACATAAAACAACACTCAACAAAAACCCTTGCCTTCTATGTACATTTACAGCTTAGAAGATTAAAAGCAGATTTTTTACTCCTGTTGAATAATGGAGATAAGTGATCATTGGGCAAGAGATGCTAGCTTTTCCAAATTAAATGCTGAATATATAATAAGTAATGGTAGAGCTGGCAGCATACAAGTTAATTTGCTCTTCAAAATGAAGCATATTTGTGGGGTCTACTGATTCGTCACTTGGATTTAAATTAACTTTATTTCCTTTTCATAACACTTCTCTACTTATCTTATCCCTAGGACACAGCCGTGGTCTGCACTGTGGTTGATTTTAAAAAGACCAGATGAAGCTCTGATTTCTTTAGGATTAAAATAGACAGACCCCCGGCAGAGAGTTCTGATAAGACCCTATGAATCTGAAACTTGTAACAATGATTTAACATTTTAAAGCAACAGCAGG